TACGGAATGCAATAATTTTTACATACATATAACTACTATAATATTTACATTCTATGCTCTTGAACACATTAAGTTGTAGTACTACAGTTATAATTACTATGCTTCCTGCGGCTCAAAGCATAGCTCTGCATGCTACGAGCACTTACACATTTTACCAAGGTACTATACACGGTGTGTATACAATACATTATTCAAAATACGCTGCACAATATTCTATTTATAAAATGCACATGCTTACAATATTGCACCCATGCATTAATACGCTTATTACAAATATACATAATTAAACTATTTACATTTGGATTAATATTAAATCATATTTACATTTGTTTTTCATGTGTTCCCAGCCTAATGTTACTCTGCGTATTGACTCAAGATGGGCTTCTTACAGAGGCCACTGGAAACAGTATGCAGTTGATGCTGTTGAATCTCTCCGAAATTTAAGTCCTTTTATTGTGAGGCTGCATAATTCTAGTCCTAGTGCTTCAAGTTTGTTCATAATGCTTTTGAGCTTCTTGAGATAGGCCGGCTGCTTAATGAAGAAGCGTTTATACGCAATGTCAGTATCAAGAAGCCTCATGGGCCATTCTTCCGTGAGAGGGGCACGAGGTAACGTAATGATCAGGTGTACTACTTCATTACAGACACAACGATCAGTTGTTGATATTCCCCTTTGATAGAAATATTGGGGAAATGGTCCGTGGCCTGTAATGAAACGGGAAAGAAAAGGGGCTGAGATGAGTCGATCTTGAGAAATTCTATGGACAAAGTCATGGGTTCTACAGCCTTTCGATATAGAGTCGCATTCCTCTTGCCATTGTTGCTGCGATTTAATGCGACGGACTCGCTTCAGTAAGATTTGGGAAGGGGGATCTGGACATCTTGCGCATCGATATTCCTTGCAGCTTCCTTTGCAAGAGTGTCTGCATCCTCATTGCCCCTGCGTCCCGCGTGTGCTTTAATTCATAAAATCTGGATGTTGCAGTCATGTGCATTTTCTTTGAGCAGGCATTTGTATATCTGCTATGATCGATGATGGATGGAATGGATCACAAAGAGCGAAGATTGCCGACTGACCATCTGAGAAAATGCAAACTTCTCGGTCAACAAACTTCATAGCTGTTGTTAGAGCCTGGCGCAATGCTACTGCTTCAGCTTGGAATACCGATCCAAGGTATCCTTTCCATGTTTCTAAGACTTTATCATGATAATGAGAAATAAAAGCGCAGCCTGCCTCTTCGTTGATTTTGAGCCATCAGTGAATAGGCTGATGGTATTTGCACCGCCTGCGTCTCTTACCCGTAAATCCTGAGACAAGTCGAAACTGACAAGAGTTTGTTCGTGCGGCGAAAAAAAACTCTGGCAGGGTACTTCCATAACATTGGCCTTTCCGGCGGGTTATGCCGTAAAAGTGGCGATTGCTTTCTTGTTCAGGTTCCAAATCGGAAAGCAGGCACAAAGACTGTAGATCACGTAATGGAAGGATAGACAATCTCTATTCAGATTGCTGGTGAGCGTATAAAACAGACGAAGTCCGGTTACAGACATTTAAATGTGAATCACAAATTTAATTTTGTTGATCCATCAACGGATGCTCACACCCGATATGTGAAATGATTGTGGGGTTTCTGTAAAATAAAGAAACTAAAAGCAAAGGGATATGGCTGGACATCATCTAAATCATATCTTTCCGAATTCATGAGGCGGAAATCCTTTGGAAAAGATAAGCCTTTTGATGTCATAATAAAATCAGTCACGGAGATATAGCAGCCACACACTATACGCGAGTAGTTTAAACCTGGCGATAATCTTAACCCCATTTCGATAACGAGAGCCATGAAAGTCAAACAGTACCAAATTTTCGTTTTCCAAAATGCCCCCTCTTTGCTCAGTTCATCTGCTGACAGTGTTACAATTCATCTTTCTCGAGTGGTAATACCTGGCTAGATTCGAAGATAAATAAGAGTGCAGAGCCATATAACCTAAGTAGATCTTAATTCAGCTGAGAATATGCAAGGCAAAATGGAGAGGTTTTGGCATCTTCATTAACAGTTGGTTGATAAATGATCTACGACAAGCGAGTAAATGGATGGATCTACTACAAGCAGCAATACCACATTCTCGTTTTCTTTGAAACAATTTCAAATTGCCGGTCCTATGTTAAGCTAAAGGAGAAGCAGAATGTTATTAATTAGGTTATATTTTATGCTTCCTGTATATTTTAAACTGGTTAAGGAACGTGCACGAATTCAGTTAATACACAATAATTTAATATGTTCATTATAATGTAGATTTTTTGTTTGCAGCAATGATTGTTTGTTTGCATATGCTTTGAGCGTGATAACGCACAGAATGTTTTTATTTGATACGTTTAGAATGCTAAATTAATAATTTCCTTGTTAGTTGAAAAGGTTTTCTGTGCAAAATATATTTCCATTCGTCCGAAGTTATTAAAATAAGTTAAGAAATTGATTAATTTCAAACAAAACTATAAAATAGTAGGATTTTGTTTAAAGTAACGCTTAAGTAATTATTTCCAGGTTGTAATGCTTGCTGTAACATTTGATTTTCTTCTAATTTATAATTACGTTATTATAATGCTGAAAAGCCCTCCGTTCATACGAAATGACCGCTGTTCTAGATATTATAAATTGTAATTAAAATTATTTGTGCAAAGGTGTCTGCTAATTTAAACTGAATTAGCCAGGGCAGGCGGCGAGGACGTCACTTTGCTTACTGCCCCACGGGGTTTCCCCCATCTACTTGCTTAATTGCTTAAAGTAGAGTGCAATGAAGGAAATCACTGGCGATACATTTCTTAAGAGCCACCTCTAGCTCAATAAGTAAAGGTGGATTTAAATAATAAAATATTATTTCACATGTCAAAGAATCTCTTTCTGCACAACATTTCTTGTGTAGATCTTTTTCATCATTTTTAAGTTCGCCTTGCAGAGGACCATCCATTACTTTTAATTTTACGTCCGTTCTTTCACGAAACTCCTTGAACAGGTAACATAAAGTTGACCGGGTCCAAATGCAGGCTCAGGGTAAAAAAATTCGCCAACACGCTTAAGCGTTTGGCCCTGAGACTTATCGATGGTCACAGCAAAGGCAAGTTTTACAAGCAATTGTCTACGTCTCAATTGAAACGGCAACCCTGTGCCGTGGCAATTTCACCCCATTGGTCTAGTACAGTTACGCAAGCAACCAATAAGCTATCGGCGACAAACAGAACACCTAAGCCGCATATAACAAAGATATTTATTCATTTCATTTTATTTGTTTTTTCATCGTTGCCGGTTTTTGCCGGTTGTATATTTCCGAATTCTATTATATATAGATTTTAAATTTATTTATTAAATGTTAAATGCACGTGCTCTTGTATTTTTAATTTTTCCGGCTTAGCTTTCTCATAATATTCGTCACGCGCTGCACTGCACGGGGAATAAAACAATTTACAGTTACGCAAGCAACCAATAAACTATCGGCGACAAACACTTAAGCCGCTCATATATATATAAATCCTCTAATGTTCATTTCATGATTTTACCCAGTATAATACTTCTCTTGCGTTTCTTTAATTTTAATACTCATGTAAACTCAACAACAAATAATACTCTGTATAGCTTAATGGTTATGACAGGTGACGGAGGACGGGGACGCCTGGTGTTTAACGGAGGTAAACAGGCATATGTCCCACGCCCTCCCCTATCTAGATGCAACAACTCCCTGGGGTCCCACAAGGCTAGCAGAAGTATTACGCTATGCAGAGCTTAAATTGCATCGGAGCTTCTCTGTTTATGAGATAAATAATAATTCTAATCGGAGCGAACCGTAGCCCTAAATAGGAAGGCTCCGGCACTTCTTTTATGTAATTACGGAACAACAATTTGAGTAGAAATCTATCTCAAAAAATTTTACTTTTAGTAGCAATAAAATTATATTAAAAATGGCTTATTAAATTTTAATTTACCTCTTTCCATTTTATTTCCTTTTCATTTTAATTATTTAATTACTTTAATTATTTTAATAACCAATAATCCATCATTAATTAATTGATTAATGATTAGATAAAATTATTAAATATTAATTGGATAATTATTTATTAATTTGGTTATATTTAATTTTTTAATTATTAAGGATTTTAATAGTCATTTTATTTCTTTATTTACTCTTCTTCCTCTTTCCTGACGGTCTTCCATAGGGCTTTGGCACTTCTAATTTTAGAAATCAAGCCCTGACGTTATGTGCAATTTGTTTTTCCTCTTTGAGTGATTTGCTGTCTTTAAAATTTATCAACCCTTGTCAAAACATGAAGCAGACTACTTTACTTCTATTCTTAGTTTGGTTCAAAATCTTTGAATTGAAGTTGCATAAAACTATCTGATAACTAGAACGACCGTTTCAGATGTTGGAATATAATTATATATTTCAGTAAAACGTTGCAAGATTTATTGGTCTTTCGAGTGAATAATCGGATGAAACCTTTAACACGTTGAGCGCCATGTCAGCCATCTGTGGCTGACACTAGACTTTCCGTTTAGGCCACGTCGACCGCTGGTGGCTGACAGCGTGTGACATAATATATAACTATAAAATTTACACAGTTTTATTTAATTACAAAAAATTTATTTAAAATTTACTTAATTTTAATTCATTAAAGGACTAATAGATTTTATTGAAACACGGTAAACATAAAAACGGTTCTTCATTATAGCTATTACAAAAAAAAAAAAAAAAAAAAAAAAAAAAAAAAACAACTCTCTTAGTCTTTTTTCTGGCCATTACTTCTGGCCCTACAGTACCAGGCTTTTAAACGGTGCCCGTGGCCTGAACGGGATTGCCTAAGAAATACGCGAGGCGCTCAACGTGTTAACGTCAGACAAGCTTGTATTTTGGGCAAAATTTTATAAAACATTTACTTTCGAGTTTCGATTTATAAAATAGTCTTACTTACTTTTATATTAAACTTTTAATAACATATATTTTTTTTTAATCAGACATTTTCTAATATTGTGTTTGGAAGCAAAGTGGCCTGGTGCATGCCTATTTTCGTGGCTTTATCCACATTTGGAGGAGTAAATGGGAACCTTTTTACATCTGCACGGTATAGTATAATACTTAACTGTTTTAATCTTCTTTTCTTTTTAAAACGTTTCTTCTGCTTATGCATAGAAAACATTTATTGACACAAGTATGCTTTCAGGTTTTTTGCTATGGCATCACACGAAGGTCAGTTGCCTGAAGTTTTAGGAATGATAAGTATTCGTAGGTGTACGCCTGTACCATCCCTGCTGTTGACGGTATGCGATATATTACTGTTTGCTTTGTTTTATTTGTTTAATTAGGGCAATTTTTACCTTAGTATTCTATTGTAAATCCTGATTATTTGAAGTAGGAAGTAAATATTTAGGGAAAATATAACGCAGCATATTATTTGATAAAATTTATTGCTCAGTAGCATTTATCATAATAAACTATACGAATATATCCTTATAAAATATATTAATAAATATAATATATAAAAAATTTTAAAAAAATCTGAAATTTTCAGATTTTAAATTACGTCCAAAGGGCGTTCTTTTAACGTTTTTGAGTGTTACCTTTATTTATTAAATATCATGTTCTTTGCACTTAAACCATAAAATTCAGTTCAAGAGCAATATCGCAAAATAATGTTAAATTAAGCATATCTTTAGAATTTCCGATATACACAGTCTCGCGAGCTGGAGATAAAAGTATTTTTTTTTTCTATATAACGTTGCCATTTCTCGCTTTTAAAGCATTGAGTTCGTAAATCAAAAATTCGTTAAAGTTTTACAAAATATAAAATCTATAATAAAACAATTCCAAATTTCAAATTTGGATTTCCAGATGCCCATATTCGCAGTAGGATTTCGTCCATTCAAAATTCGATGGCTCTATGTACCATTGTTTTATCACAATGCGAGAAATATGCACAATCATTTATGCAGATTTTCATTATTTGAATTTCTTCAAATATAATGCAGGACTCTAACATTTTGGTGGCAAACCGTTTGAAAAGTGAAACGGACCAACCAACGCAAAAATTAATGAAGTCCGAACGCAAAATCGCCAAAACGAAAACTGTAGTCCTTCAGGGACTGAAAGGTCCTTTGGACTAATAAATTATAATTGTAAGATTCTCACTGGTGTATTTCTCAGTTACTGTAGAAAGTGAGGAATCTTAAGAACTGATAAGCGAATAATCGCTTTAGTTCGTGTAGATGAAACCACAAGCAGATATTACTCAGATAAAAATTAACAGAACTCCGTCTTGGAGTTTTACAATAAAGCCAAACACTCGGGTTTTGAACTTAAGATATAAATAACTAAAGCTAATCTAAACTAAAGAGATATAGCCGAAGCTATCAAGATTCTAATCGAGTTGGCCCCTTAACTCTATTTGACTACGAAGCTATCAGGGCTTGAGTACGGGCGAGCGTAATAACAACTTTGAGAGAGAGTAGCCAAAAAGGCAGATGCGCGCGAATCAGAAACTCTGATTCTCTCTAAGTCAGCAAGTAAAACTTCGCGGTTTAAATACCGCTTCTCCTCATTAAGTATGTGATGTTGGGAGGCCCCAACTTTTCAGCAATAGTAGTAGTGACGGCTATGAATTGGAAATTACGCAGACTCTTAAGAAGGGTTTAACTCCCTTTTTATTTCACTTTAGAAATCACAGTTGCGTTCACTTGACGCTCACAAACTACGCCGACCCGGCGGTTAAACAAAAACTAGAAAAATACAACTAAAAATAAATGACAGGATGAATAAATAACGAGGTCACCACCTACGAGGCTCTATAATCGTGACTAACTTAACCGCGTTCTAAGATACAGCTGAGATTCAGCAATAGAAGGGAAACGAGTTTTGTAAGATTAAGAAGTTGAAAGATTCAACTAACTGCCGAAGTAGGCACACAGGCCGAAACGCGCGGTTCTTAAACTTTCTGCCAAGCAACCTTCACGCTTGTAATCCAAGAAGCATACTTACAAAACTCGTTTCCCTTCTATTTAACTCAAATTACTTCTGCTTAAAATTTGAATACTCTACGCGTTCTACTATGATTTACATACTCTGGCATTGGCAATTCTAGGGAAAAGTAAAGGCTTGGCAGGAAAGATAGCGTAAACTTAAAATAAATATAAACCCTACAAGTATTCAGACGTGATTCCTAAAACTACGTTCTGGCCGGAAGTTAAAGGATAGGAAAGAAGTTTAACTCAAAATTTAAACTGTTAATAAAATTAAAATAACCTTACATAATATATAATAAATATTATTATATTAATTTAAAATTATATTAATATATATTATATACTATACGATGTGTGACACAAGAAAAGAAAAGAAAAAAAAAGAAAAAGAAACTGGCCCTATAAATCACTGTCCTTACAGAATCAATTTTCCGTGAAATTATCACCTTCAAAGTAGTCCCCTTCAGCACTCACACACTTCTGCATTCGGTGCTGCCATTGCTGGTAACAGTTCTGGAACAAGTTTTTTGGAAGACACTTCAAGAGATTCTCCGTTTTTGCCTGAACCTCTTCAAATGAGGTAAAATGAATTAAGCAAGATTTACCTTTACGAAATAAACAAAAGTCGCATGGAGCCAAATCAGGTGAATAAGGAGGATACCCCATCACAGTAATGTTTTTGCTGGTCAGAAACTGCTTAACAGATACGGGCCATGTGAGCGGGTGCATTGTCCTGGTTTAACAGCCTGGTTATCACTTCACAACTGGGACCTTTTTCCGTAATTTTTTCACGAAATCTTTTAAATACTTGTAATTCAATGTATTAGTGTTGATTAACAGTCTGGCCACTGGGTACCCACTCGATCATTACATTTCCGTTAATGTTGAAGAAGACAATGATCATTGCCTTGAATTTTGATTTTGACATGTTTTGTCTCTTCCCCCTGAAAACCACTTAAGCCATTCAAACACACGTGCACGAGACAAAGTTTCATCTCAATAAGCCTCAGCTAACATTTGAAATGCTTTCGTGGCTGATTTCTTAAGTTTCAAAAGAAACTTAATGGTGACTCGCTCTTCGGTTTTTACATTAGAATTTTTTTTTTTCCGCAGAATGGAGTTGCACATGTTCACTCAATGACGCAGCACTCCCAACTGGTGTGTGTAACGTGTATACGAGCCAGTTTCCCTTAGAAAGTCCTCCACGAAGGCATCACTCCCTTAAGGCAGATAGCCCTCGAGTGCTTCGCCGTAATCTAATAAAACCAAACCAAACCAAACCAAACCCAACTGGTGCGATTGGTTAAGTTGAAACTGGCCGCATGGATAGAGGAGGTGTGTGGGATGACGTCACCATCTTTCCTAATTTCAGCTTACAATTTCTTACCAGAATGAGTTTTTAGAGTCGCATTAAATGCAAATGAGAAGGAGTCGTATTTAAGTCGAAGTTACACTGACTTTGGGAGACAGGATTAAGAGTTTTTGAATAGCGCGTGTTTGCCTTTTGGCTACGGCTCTCAAATTTGTTACTACTCTCGCCGCATAACGTGCCCTTGATAGCTTCACTAGCTAATTCCATATTTAGAGGCCAACTAGTTTAAATTTGGGCTAGCTTCGGCTAAATCTCTTTAGTTAATCATTGGTTAAGTTCTTATTTCTTACACTATTGAGTTTAAACCCAAGTGGAGGCTCTGTTGTACGCCCTAAAAAAGGGCCATCTGTGAATCTTTATTTTGAGTAATAACGGGTAATTACCCATTCTTGAGTTTACGCCTCTATTCCTGAAATTATTCGCTTAGCTGTTCGTTAGGTTCCTGAACACTCAATTAATAGATAAAAGGGAGAAACCCAACAATTTAGAATAAATATAACTGAAAATTTCAGTTAGTTCGAAAATTAAAGAGTGTAAATATTAATTACTTTGTTATTTTTATTATTTTACATTCCTGTAATTTTATCTTCTGATTTCCTGTTAAGTTTAGAATTACAGTGTGTTTATTGAATTTATTCCGCTTTTTCCTTGACGAGTGTAATTGCACGACAGTCTTCGTCAGCCGTTTTGTTCCGTTACCTTTGCATTCCTGGTATCCGTGAAGTCGGCGAATACTAATAGTTTGACCCGGGTTCAAATCCCGGCTGCATGAAAGTTTTCGAGGTTTTCCTATGTGTAACATTGATACAACCCGGATTCCCTTAGCAAGTCCTTCACAAAGGGGCCCACCAGCGGCCGAGCGGTAAAGTCGCTGAACACTGGTAGTTCGGTCCGAGGTTCGAATCCTGCGAACGGGCTGGCTGTATGGGCGTTTTCGTGGTTTTCCCCATGTGTAACGTGTATACGAGGCCAGTTTCCCTTAGAAAGTCCTCCACGAAGGCATCCCTTCCCTTAGGCAGATAGACCTCGAGGCTTTGCCATAATCACACACACACACACACACGTTCACAAAGGCTTCCGTCCCATTGGGCAGGTAGCTCATGATTTGCTTTGCCTTAATCTATAAAACTAACTGGTATTTTTGGTATCATTTTACAGAATGTCATACACTCGTGTTACTTTGCTCGTTATAAATACTAGATAATTAAACTATCTATTATTGCTATGACGCGTCTTTAGGCATTATTTCAAAAATAGCAATTCGATAGCGCTATGAGGAATACGAAATGAAGCTATTGAAGACATATACATCAGATTTTTAAATGTTTACGAGTGAAATTTTCAATAACGATGCTATTAATTTAATTTAATAAACCATGTTTAGGATGCCATTTACATTATATACCTTGCTGAAGAAATTTTCACTAATGTGAATAAACTTCGTCTTTTACATCTAAAATTCCCAAATTTTACTCTTAAACATTAGGTATTTTGGAAGCAGGAACGACGAACGGGAATCGAACCGCGGACCTCTCAATTACGCGCTGAGCGTGCAGACCACTACACCACGAAGGCTCACTAAGAAGGCGGGAGAAATACCTTATAAAGTAATTATTTGGCTCATAAATCATCATTTTATTAATTTACCAGTTAAGACTTAGCCGAGATAATACCACAAATTAGAAATTCTCACACTTGTTCTCATCTAAAATACGTTATTTTTACTTCTTTGTACCAAGTAAAGGAAGTATTGTAATCTCAAAAAATTTCGGGTATTATATTGCAGCGAAAATATCCATTTTGACGCCTATCGAATGCAATTTAACGATGGTTTTGCAGTAAATCTGTACGTAAGAACAGAATAAAGGACACTTCCCCCCCCCCGAAACGAATTATAAAATGGATTTAAAATAGGTTTCGTGACGTCTGTACGTACGTATATATGTAGCTCGGATAACTCAAAAACGAGTGTCTTCAGAATGTTGAAATTTTGTATATAGGACTGCTATAGGATGTATTTGGGAATAGAAGAAGATAGATGAGAAAGAATGAGAAATAATGTTGAGCTTGAACGAGGCTTAAGGTCATTTTAAAATTGGAACCTTTTTCTCTGCGCTTAGAAACTAATCTCGAAAAATCTTATTTTTAGGTGAGTCAAAATTCAGCCAAGAAGTTAAAATCGATGTAACTTTTTTAAGGGGGGGGGGAGTTTATTAATGTAATGTTAAACAAATGTTATTTATCTCTCTCTATATAAGGAAGAGTTTGTGTGTGTGTGTGTGTGTGTCTTTCGTTTGTAAGATGATAGACCCAAGGCTACGAAATTTGTCAAATAGGGTGTATCTAGACAAGAGCAGTTGCACCTCGAAGCGATTTTTTTCAAAATTCGAATGGGGAATTTTTTTTTTTAATTTTATGTTTCTTGATGAAATGGCATCAAATCGATAATTCTCTTTCATTATATCAGCAACAGTGTCACGCAGCCGTTGTTGCTGATATATCACATATAAGCTATTTCTTCCGCCTTCTTAGCATGCCTTCGTGGTGTCGTGGTCAACACACTGGGCGCGTATTCGAGAGGTCCGTGGTTCGAGTCCCGGTGAGAGCATTGCTCTTTTTTCCTGCCCTCTGACAGAGCACCTTCTACAGCAGTTCTTTCCTTCCGACTACATCACATATCCTGTGAGTACACTGTTCACAGACTATTACCGCAACAAGGGCATCTTAGAGATAATGAAGCAACAAGTGTATGAAAATAATTATATCCAAGAAACTAAAGATTAATATAAAATGCGGAAAGGCGACCTAACCATCAGATTGCTAGCAATGACTAGGATGACTTCCTAACCTTGTAGTTTGGCGGAACAGGTTAAGTAAAGTAAAGGTTGACAATATCTCTCCTGCTTTTAAAAAATACCTAATGATCTACAGTGGCTCCCGAACTAATAAAAAGGGTTATGGTTATACGCCACTGACCAGGCTTCCGACCTAACGTAGGGTGGTGAATGATGATTCTCCACCACCAACATTTGGCGATTGGGTCCCCTAATCACCAGTCGCTGCTTAAAAAGGGGAGTATATAAGGTATTTCTCTCGCCTTGTTAGTATGCCTTCGTGGTGTAGTAGTCAGCACACTCGGCGCGTATTCTAGATGTCCGTAGTCCCGGCGAGGGCATTGCTCATTTCTTCAACTTCCTGACATCGAAAGTAACCTAATGTCTCTACACACTGCTGTCATTGTTACCGATATCAGCACTAACGCCACTCGGAAAAGTGAGGGCGATAATTCAGTGCAGTTTTTAAATTTAATGTTTCTTTGGGATACTGGACGTCTGTCGAGTAAGTTTGTTAATTTATTTACTAGGGTAATTAATATTTGTATTGAGGGATATTGCTTATTTCATTGTAATTTTTTATATGTAATACATTTTTATTAATTTAAAAAAAAATTTAATTTAATGTTTGGTGTTCCCTTTAGTCATTTTCCCGGTACATTTAAAAGCCAGACAAGAGCTGGATGCTCAGCGGCTAGTTATATGATACTTATTTACAAAAATGTGATAGATTTCCGACTTGATATTTTCCAGCATTAATCCTTGTTAACCTTAACAAAATGGCATATCGAGAATTCATCTCTGGTTGTCCCATAGGTGTAAGCAAACAATCTGGGATCATTCAAAGAATACAGAATCCGAAGTTACTGCTGTTTGGAATATTTCGGATAAGGGATACTCAAACTGCACTTACATTTAGTTGCAAAAGTAGGGTGAATAAACCGTAGAGATAGCATTTGATAATATATCCGCTTTAGCAATAACCTTCTTCCTTGTACCTTTATTTCCGATATCTGGGCGGGATGGTATTTCGAGCTTCCTATAGTCAATGCCGAAAAACTGAGCGATTGCGAAATTGACTCTTCTCCGCACACACACACACACCACACACAAAAAAAAAAAAAAAAAAAAAAAAAAAATATGGGGTAATAGCAAAAGGAATAAACGGAAGCACTGCTGATAATATTCTGTCCTTGAGGGTCAGCGGGAACAGCAGTCACATTTCCGGCGCATGTTGTCAAAAAGTATACAAGACTATTCTACGCATTTAGTTTCCTCTATTTAGAATTACAGACCCTATCAAAAGTATAGCCCGAGTAAATACCTTTTGAAAATTTCGTTGTAGATCTATTGTTCTAGTTTCGGGAAAAGCATTCAGACAAAGGTACTTCGAGTCACTTGACAGAAAAGTATGAGAAATTTGAAATGCTTTTTGTCTTCTCCGAAGAAAATATTATCTACCAAGTAGACCCTAACCCTGTCAAAAATATGTTAAGGGGAAAGAATCCGTTCTGTAATATATTAAATTATCCCTGGGGGAAATAAGTGTCAAGTGTATCTGATTTAGTTATTTTCAACTGCAGAAAAGGATAGTAAGTTAATTGTTGATTGATTATGGCAAAAACTAGAGGGCAGTTTATCTAATAGGACGTACTTTCTAAGCGAAACTGACTTGTGCAATATAACCTTGGTTTACACGCGCTTTAAACCACGAACAAATTTTCAAAACGAAAAATGTCTTGGATGACGAACCATGTGTCGAGTTACGAGCAAGTAAACTGTCAACAAATGATACTCCAAAATGCAGTTCATGCACTGGAAGAATGTCTTCAGAAGAAGATGAAAACAAGATTGTACCTAGTTATTTGATCCGCAAAATTTGTGCAAAATGGGATAACGTACAAAGGTTCACTATTACCCTCATAAACAGTAGTAAGTCGTAGCATTAATATCTGAAATGATAATGCTCGCTTTACGAGCATTTTCAAGAGGGGTTATAAACAAACCACTGCGGGCACATTTTAATGGGACAAAGACTCTCTTCTTAAATGGAGATTATTGGTGTTAATGCTTTCGCAACGACTGCCACGTATACGTGCCAGCAAGAAACGCTCTGATTTCCCGGCCGGCGTGCCAGAGCCCCGGCTTTCACCCTCGGCTGTCACTCACACATTTATGCTAGTGTCCTGGAGAGTTTCAAATACCACTAAATGTCGTTCTGTGTCCATTACTTTTGAACTGAATATAGTTTTAGGACCCTGACTTTCAATTTGATCACATTCTGCTTAACGTTGGTGTCAGTTGTTGCGAGGTGCTAGAGTAATGTAAAAAGACAGAGCTCGTCTCTTTAAAATCCCAATCACATTATGTTTCCGCTACGAGGGACATGACGTCGAAAAGGACAATTATGAGAACCCACGCATTTCTAGGAAACCCACGTAGCTAGGTTACTATTTTTACTTACTACAAAGACTTGAAGGCCAAACAGCAATCGATTATCGAGCAGATTGGGATCACGTGATCCTTCAGAAGCAGAACTTTCGTCTGATTGGTTGATCTCTACCCGGGAGAGAGCTCCAGCCGAAAGGTTTTCGGCGAGGTTTCCAAAAATCTCGCGTAGCTAGTACATCATTTCCGTAGCTAGGCTGGACTTCCCTTCCAGCGGAGCTCTAATTTTTCTAGAAATCCTCTCGTTTAAACCAGTACTACCACAATCTCGTTTCTAAGAAAAGTCCCGTCGAGCAGGTACTGTCGCTTGATGTGATAAGGACCTAACTCGCCACGTGATATAAACATTTGCCTTTCTATATCCCTTCGAATCCTATATTTTAAATTCATAGTATTAGCTCACACTCTCCCTATATCTTGTTCAAATTTTTCAATCGTTAATAAAATAATTTTTATTCATCCACTCCAAGTTCGGATGACACTTCATGTTAATACATTTTGGGGGGATACTTTAATTTATTTTAATTTTTTAAATTTTGTTTTAAAAATTTGTCTTTGTTGACCTAAGTAGGAATTGACTTCAAAAAAAAAAAAAATCTTTTATATAACTTTTTTCTAATCTTTTTTTCTACTATGTAGGATCCTTTAGGGTTACTATGTGAGATTCTGTTACGCTTTGAATCGCTTTTATTTTGGAAAGCCTTGTAAATATCTATCTACAAGGCTTAGCATTCTGATTTCAAATGATGCATAAGTATCTGTGTATAGATCAGAAATGCAAACTAAAATTAGCAGTTATTTTTAACATAAATATAGACGAAATTATACATCAAACTTATTGACTAAACACATTTTTTTTTCCAGTGTTTCATGTCTCTTATTATGCTGTGCACGAGTGACATCTATGCCCTTATCAATTACCTGAGCTTCGCCCAATGGCTGTGGACTGGTATTGTCATCTTAGGTCTCATGATCATGAGAAAGACGAGGCCTCACATGCACAGACCGATCCGCGTTTCCCTCATTTGTCCTGTCGTCTTCCTTGCTTGCTGTGTTTTCCTGACAGTTTTCCCGATGATTGCGGAACCTGTAGAAACTGGCATAGGTCTAGTTATCATGCTTGCTGGACTTCCAGTATATCTGATATTCTGTTACAAGCAGCCAAAACATTCACGACTAAGAGGTAGATTATATGGTAAGTTTTATTCTTGTTCAAATTAAGTTATACACATCTACTGGAACTGGATTGGTATTGCGCCAAATATTATGATTATTGTGATTTACGCTAAATATTGTCATTAAACGAACTTCTTATCCATAAAACATAAAAAATGATGGATCGTTAAAAATGTTGAAATATCTCATCTTCCCCATCAGCAAAAATTATGACTCATGATAAGAAGTTTCACGTTAATCAACTATTTAAAATGCAGTCAAATGTTCTAATAGTTCTCCCTAAAATATTTCGAAATTTTAACTGTGTATTTTATTATTTTGTATTGTGTTACAAGAACATATTTTGTGATTACAGTAAAGTTCACTGGCAGTACTTAAAGCACAGTTAAAACAATAAAAATTTGATTTTTTAAAAATAATTTAATGCAAAAAAATTTATCTCGAAATTAGCGTATCTCCCCAACTCCCCGAAAAAGGACGATAACATACATCTCCAGCTAATTCTTTTCACTGCGGGGAGCCCACCAGCGGCCGAGCGGTAAAATCGCTGAACACTGGTAGTTCGGTCTGAGGTTCGAATCCCGCGAACGGGCTGGCTGCATGGGCGTTTTCGTGCTTTTCCCCATGTGTAACGTGTATACGAGCCAGTTCCCCTTAGAAAGTCCTCCACGAAGGCATCCCTCCCCTTAGGTAGATAGCCCTAGTGTGCTTTGCCGTATTCTCAATACACACTCTTTTCATTGGGATAATGAATTTACGCTTGCTGCGTATTTTTGTTCGGCGTCTGAATTTTCATCTGCGACATGACAAAATTGATTTATATTTTAATTCTATAAATTCGTAGCTGAGAAAGCTAAGGTTTTAAAAATGCAGATAATAGTTTTCGTAATATTAAATCTAATAGTATAAAATCACTTCAATCAACATTTTCACTTATTCTTTTAAAATTAGACATCTTTTCCACTCTTACTAAGTTAATTTAGTAGTATCATTTTCGGAATTCAGCCTGCCTTAAATCGAGCAGCTGTACTAATTCGATGCAATGCAAATGAATATTTTTTAAAAATGCAAATTTAACTTTATCAGTTTAAAATTTTTTAACTGATTGGTATAACCCTGCCGATTGGAATTAAACGTGTTCCATGTCTACAGGTACTTGGAAAGTTATCGGGTTCAATGTTCCGTCTAACCTTCTTCGGGAACATGCAAGGACCTGACTCGGAACAGAGAGCTTACTAAAGCTATGTTCAACAATTGTGGGAAGTAGACAGGATACACAAGAAGGGTATACAAAACCCTTTATTTTTCTCTATTTACAATAACTTCCGTACTTCGGAAATACACAGACCCGCTACTTGGGGTCAAAACATAAAAGTATAAAAATAAAACTAAACTCTAATTTAACTTTAAAATAATAAACGTGGAAGATCGGCCTTATATTAACAGGAAGCCGTATGTAGTACAGAGAACTGTGAACACTACAATACGTTTAAAATTATCAAGAGGATGAAACCTCTGACCTGGAAGGCAACAGCAACGGAATAAAACTTCTAAGGTAAGCGGCCTGCTTCGACTAACTGCTTCCTCTCACTCGCTTGGCAAAAAGCCACAACTTAAATACTTGGCGTTCGCCAGACAAACTTTGCATAAATACTTCATCGCTTATAATTCTGGCCGGAAGTAGAAAATAAGAAGTGATAGTAAAGATTTAAAATAAAATAAACGTTAGTAAAACTTAAGATCCTTACAAAGTAAGTGAAGTCATTAAAAATTTGTTTTATGAATTTGGATTTATTTCATTCCAGCAAAACTAGCTTTGACTCTTTGCCTAAGGAACGTGGACAAGCGGTTTTAACCCTTTGATTACGAATTAAAAAATTACTCTTTCTATCCAAGTGAACAAAATATGTCATAAATAAGGTAAATTTAGCATTTGGTGTAGTTTATTTTATTTATTTATTTATTTATTTTTTAATTTTAATTTAATTTTTTTTTTTTTTTGACAAACTGTTTTTAATCTAAAGGCTGGGATACGTAGTATGTCCCAAGCCGCAGTTAAATGGTGGGATACATAGGTCCCACAGGTAGCGATCGACTTACTATAAGTACACCTATTATTCTGGAAAAATTTATTATATGGAACAGATTTACAGCGTATGGTAACAGGGTAAAGCATTCTTTGCATAACCCAACATTACACATTAGGCAACTTATATTTGTTCTTTTCTCTATGTTCATTTGTGTACAACGATCACGGCGGCGTCTTGAATTTCCAACTATTGGAAGATGATCTCCAACATTCAGGTTATTCGAGGTACTTTTAAACCAGCGGTAATTTTTATAATTTTAGTGGGACATATATGTCCCGTTAAGTAGTCAAAGAGTTAAAGGAAACCGACTCGTATTCCGAGGTAATGTGGAGATTGTAGAGTTCCTCACTTTGTAAATGCTAAGTTGCTGTTGAACGTGAAGAATCTTAAGAACTAGTAAGCGAATAATGGCTTGAGTTCGTGCAACAAGATGGAAGGGTAAATAACCCTTGATTATTCAAATAATATTTAACAGAACTCCGTCTTGGAGTGTACAATAAAAGCCGATACATGGGCTTGAACTTAAGAGGCTAAGAAGTAAACTAAAACTAATTCAAACTAAAGAGAAAAAGCCGAAGCTATCAAGATTCTAACTGAGTTGGCCCCTTAACTGTAATTGATTGCGAAGTTATTAAGGGCCTGAGTACGGCCGAGCGTAGCTTTGAGAGAGAGTAGCCCAAAAGGCGCACGCGCCCTAATCAGAAACTCTGTTTCTCTCTCACTCAACGAGTAGAACTTCGCGGTTAAATATCTCTCTTCCTCATTATGTATTGAGACGTGATTCCAAAACTACGTTCTGGCCGGAAGTAGTAAGTTAAAGTTAAGAATTTGACAGGAAAGGAAATTTAACTGTTAATAAAATTAACATAATCCTTAAAAGATAACAACAAAAACGTCATACAACTACCCTGTTCGCCGGGATCTTATTCTGTCAGCTTATGGTAGGCGATTTGTTGTTTGAGAAAGTTTAACTTAATACGTGTAGCAAAACATGTCTTTATGTCTGTTTTTAAAATAAGCTTATTATTTTTTTTATTGTGTAAAATCACAGAGGCTATCTAGCTAAAGAGAGAGACGCACTGGTGGAGAACTTCGTAAAGCAAACTACTCAAGTTATGCTTGAGTAAAACCATTAAAGGCCCATGCAGCTTTGCCTCATGGCAAAGCACAACAATTCTAGAACGTCTATGTCGATTGTGCTTTTATGAAACCTATATAAGTAAATAATAAGCAATGACACCCGTGTAAATAATAAAATTAATGATTTGGTGGCTCTATTTCAAAGATTACAAATTTAGTGAAACACTGAGGAAGCAATTTCGACAAAGCGAGTAAATTACACATATCAGAATATCAAAATATGTTGGAGCAATGCACAAGAACTTGCAAACGAGTCTGCTCTTTTAAAACCAATTTATGTTTATTTAGAATCAGCTGCAAAATGAACGCAAATTGACAATTGTTAATACGTATATGTGATTGGCGATGCAGGGCTTGTTTGGCAATTGTTCAAAAGTCTTAAGCTTGTCAGGCTTGTGTTTCTCTTGATTTGTTTTGGAAACATGGTATGCCCTGAATAAGAACAGGGAGCTTACTCAAGCTATGTTCAAGATTTGTGTATAACAGACGACACAAGCAGGAAAGGTATGCGAAACCCTTTATTTTCAATACTTCACAGGCACTTCCGAACTTCAGAATACAGAGACCAACCACTTGTGGTCTAAACGTAAGAATATAAAACTAGTAACTAAAACTCTAACTAAAAGCTAACTTTGAATAAAGTATACAAATGCCTAGCACTAAGACTGGCCTTTATTTAAAAGGGTACGTATGTAGTACGCCGAGCTGCTGAAACTACAATACGTTTGCAAATATCAAGAGGGCTAAACCTCTGGCCTTAAAGGCAACCAGCAACCGCGTGGAAACTCGTAAAACTGCAGTGACAAGCGGCTTGCTTCCTAAAACTCCTTCTCTCTCTCTCTCTCTCTCTCTTGGCAAAAAGCCACAACTTAAGTACTTCGGCGTTAGCAAGACAATTTGCATAAACAAGTTAAAGCATTTAATTCTGGCCGGAAGTATAAAATAAGAAGTGATAGTACAGTTTTAAAATAAAATAAACGTTAGTAAAACTTAGGATCCTTACAAGCTTTCCAATCTCAACCTTCTATTGTAATAATATTTTTGTTTAGCTACAAGCATTTAGAAGTTAATTTTACTGATATTGTTGTTCTTTTTGGTTGTGTAGAATTAGTCGATGAAATTATTTTTAAAAGAATAAAGTTTTTATTATATAACAGTATACATAAATTATATTGCCTCTGCCCCACGCGCGCTCAAATGGTTATCACGCCTAACTAACAATTGGAAAATTCGTGGTTCGAATCCCAGCAAGGGCTTAGTTGATTTCTCCATCTGAAAAAGTATATAACTTTTCTACAGTGAACCCCTGAAATAAACTCATTGTAAGCGATAATTCTTCCCCATTTGAATTTTGTCCACTGGGCCTCATACCTCTCTCTACTCGTCTTTTAAGTGGCAGAACATACAAGGAATGATCTCATTCCCCTATGCTCTTGCACCCGGAAGCGAATAGCACGTCCAGCTAGCAGATGAAGATCCCTGGCTCGAATCCGGCAAGGGCATAGTGGGTTTTTCAACTTTCTTATGAAAAAAATTGTTTCCATGAACAAATATACTGTTTATTTATGAAATATGTACACATTAATGTTTATTTGTATGAATTTATCGTATTTCTGTATTTTTAAAATTATACTTATGTAATTATTTCAGTGGAAATAACAAGATTCTTGCAGAAATTGCTAGAGGTTGTGACTCCCGAAGAAAAATTTTCCTGATGATGACAAGGTGCTGGAAGTAATTTCATAATGCAGCTAACTAAAAAAACTGAATTGACATGGGGTGTCGAGTCAAAAAAACTCGTTTTTCATACTTGTCAAATGAATGTCTTCATTTACATATGAATTGTTCCTTTCAATTTTTTATTCTGATGAGAATTTTTTTATCGTTGATATGTATTGTTGAATATTATAAACTCCAGATTTTTTTTTTTTTTTTACAGAAAAAAAAAAAAAAAAAAAAAAAAAAAAGCTTTTTATATATCTTATGTTATTTTGTGGTTGACTGTGATTGTAGCTGTGTTATTAAGGGAATAGTAATTAATGCATGTTTCTAGGAATGGCAAAAATCTCAAGTTAAAAAAATGGATAGGCCATAACTACTGTGAAATATAAAATAATTGTACTTTTAATCATCATTATACGAAAAACGTTTTAGGAAGTAATGCAAATATAAAAAGAAATATCTAGTTCTGAAAAGAAAATAAATTACCATTCAAAATTAATTAAAAAATTTTATTACATACCTTTTGTTTAGAATTAAAGAAATAAAATGGAAAAGGAGGGAATGAATATAATAATTATTGCAAGAGAAATTGAAAACAGAGCTTCTTTTGAAAATGTAATAAATTTGAAACAACGAAGTATAAATATTTCTTTAGACATTTCTTCGGAAGCAATCGTTTTGTAAGCCAATTTCAGTGCAAATGAGAAGTAACTGTAATTACAGAAGATTTTGAGATACAGCTAATCGTCACAGTATAAGAATCTGTTAAAGATCTCTAAATTAGCAATGTATATTTTTTAATACTAATTTTTGTCTCTCGAAAATCGAGAGGGGAAATTGCGCGGTATATTTGCCTGTGCTGAAGGAAGGAGCTAAAAGACAAAGAATTTAGAAGATTAAAAATCATATTAAAATACTATATTAAGTATTTCAACGAAGTCTTACAGTTTTATTACAATCAATATTAATACTTAAGTACTGTTCTTTGCTATCGCTTTATGCATTTTACGTTTATCATAAATCTGAAGTTTCGAAATAACATGCTGAAAATATCTGGGGGGGGGATACACCAGGGAGAGAAATATGCGAGTAAATACTGTAATTATACGTAAATAGGGAAATAACTATTTTAACTGCCCTATCTTTAATTACTTTAGATCTTCAACTACACAGTGTCCATTTGTCATTTCACTTAAAAGCCAGTTTAAGATAGCTTTAAAATATACTAAAGACACTATAAATTAGTGCATTTATAACAGTTTTCTGTGAAGACCATCCCCCATTCTAGTGTTAATTGTAAATGTACATAAGCTTTTCTGGATCCGTTTGCTATATATTCCGTTTATACTGTTCCTTTTTCAAATATTTAACTTAAATTACGTAAATTAAAAAGGTTCAGGTGTTGGAGTATACAAATATTGGTTCATTAACTGATGCAATATTTTAATATACCTCCTCCTGAGAAAATTGCAGAGTTCAGCCGTGGTTATTTTTTAGTAGATTGTAACACAGTTTCCAATTTTAGAATGTTTCCCAAAACAAAATACGGAATTCAACCTTGTTCTTTTCATTCCAACATTTTTTAAGGTAGATTATAAAGGAATCTGAACTTATATTTTTGATATAAAAGATATATAAAAAACGAACCTGAGAAAAGAAATTTTTCATGTGTGTAGTCTTAAAAATAGATGTAATAATAATGCATTTTTCTTTTTTTTTTTTTTTTTTTTTTTTTTTTCTATTTATAAGGGGCATTCAGTGAAGCATCCTATAACAGCAATGATTTAAATGCTAAAGGTTCTATAACAGCAATAATTTAATATTATTTTAAAAATATTTACAGCTTTTGCGCATGTATTCTCGAGGGACATCAAGCATACAGTGACGCTCTCGTAAAAGTTGTAGGCTGTTCTTGGAATTGTTACACATCGGTTTTGTCGAATAATCTCATTCATTTTGGCAAACGGGAGCCTTTTTGGTGCATTACATTGCTTATTTCTGCCCAAGACGATCCTTCCTTTCTAAAGTGCTTTCACCACTTTACTCTTGCAAGTAAAGCAGAATGCTCTGAGCACGTCTTTGCCTTTCATCGACTGATTTCAATACCAACTACACGACTGATTTCAATACTACCTTCTAGCGCCGAAAATGGACTACCTCTCGTTGTTCTTTCCATGCCTTTGTTCTGAAATATAATTCTTCCATGTCTTTGTTGTTGACGCCACCTACCTGGATGTTCTTCCATGTCTTTGTTGTGAACGCCACCTACCTGGATGGTGTTCGTTATAAATATCGGTACCTTCCTTCTTATATCGATGTACAGTTAGTTCCATCTGGCTTCCCATGCGTGTATGAGGTTTTCTTCTTAAATACACTAGTCATTAAAAGTAAAGAATAATGACAGAAATAAAATGTAATGAAAAATCATTAAGGAAAATTATTAATGAAAAATTATTAATAGAAATTTGTACAAAAGCTTTACTTAACATAAGTCACAGTGTTTGGCAGTTCATTATTTGCAAGTTATTGAAATTAAAACCAACTATATGGAAACTGGAAAATGATGGAAAAATTATGTGACCTTTTGTAAAAAAATTTGTTTTCTTTAATATGGTTTATCGTCACTATACAACAGTCTATGAAATCAAGATGTGCATGCCAAGTGAAAGTGTTGACCAAGTCTTGTGGAATTACATGCCACTCTTCTGAAAGTGCAATTTTCAGCTCCTAGAGGGTCTGGGGAGAAATTTGGCTTGTTGAAATTCGGCGCCTTAAAGCATCCCACACATGATCACACATTCGAATGATATCTTCTGTTTGCAAGTATTCTGATTCTACATGTGCTTCAGGAGGCCGAACATTGTCATCAACTCTGGGCCAATAACAAAGTTGCATGGACATTTAATGGTTGAGCTTTGCCATTGTTGAACTTTGCCACATGGCAAAGCACAAAAATCCATTCTGATACAAGCACGTCTATGTCCATGGGTATATGTAACATGCGTGCGTTGCGCATCGCATCGTCAATCGCCGCATTTGTATTACTTCCAGCGCTCACGTATGCGTGAAAATGCAATTTTATGTTCAACTGCATTTAATTAACATAAATAATTACAGCATTGCGCACTGGTTTTAACATTAAGTGGGCATACTTTTTCTCGTTATCCTTTAATTTGGATGGCCCAGTGTCTATAGTTGTTGCTTTGAGACTTTGGCAGCATTGCCTGAAATGCCGCTTTCTCCTGGCAGGCTTTAACTCGTATTTCATTGAATGCCCCTTATATTGCGGTAGAAAATATTTGATAAAAATAATCACGTTAGATATTAAATTATGATCATTTATTTAAAATTTTGTCAGTATTTCATACTCTTAAGATTTTCAAGACAACCAAAAGGTATAAAAATGTATTTTTTTGCTCTATCTGTATTTTTATGAAGTGTAATCATGCTACAACAATTTGCTCAACTTATCTTGCAACTTGAAATGTATTTTAAATATTCGTGTAAATGTTTGTTTATTAATACTTTCTAATTAACCAAGGTTGATCTTACAACCTTGATTTATGTAATAATAAGCACGAGTGAAATATGTGATTAGCTCCTGAGTGAAATATGTGATTTATGCCACTATACTTTGCTTTAACCAATGTATTTTTGTACGGGTGATTGGACCAGTGTATTTATTATCTGCACATTAAATGACTGTACTATGTTTTATTTATATCGCAAAGATTTAATAATACAAATCTCACTCAAGCTCTAGAAATGAATGGAATGTTAAACAGCCATTGCTCAAGAAAGAATGGTTTTTAACGAAGCTTCCTAATTTTTAGCCAGTTATTTGATGAATTTTAAACAGAAATTTGTTTTTATTTTACAAGATTTCTATTTAGACTTTTCTTCGCTTGAAGAATTTTAATTAAATTTGAATCGCATTTCATTATAACCTGATGATATGGAATATTGTAAGATTTAATAAATAGGGTGTGGCAAGCAGACGGGCGTTTTCACTGCAATAAAACTGGTATTCGTCTTCTTCATTCTAAAAAAAAAGAAAAAGAAAAACTATATCCCACTGCACATGTACATATTCCTGTTTATGAAATATGCAAAGTCACGTTCATGTCTTAACCGCTTAAGGACAAAAGTAACAATCCAAACTCAAGTGCAACGAATGCTTCTATCATTCAGCTTTTCGATGTATTGTCATTGCTCATCTTTGCCTATTCGTAAAGACCGATTGCCTCGACTGAAGAGATTGTACAACATTTACGCAGCAACTGAGTATTGTTCTATGAGTAGTAATAGGGTTGACAAATGGTTTATTTGATAAAACACACAGCAGTCAGTAAGCGTTACCAGTAACAATTCAGATAATATATATAAAAAAAAAGAAGGGGCAAAAAAAAAAAACACTTTTGGGGTCACTCTGTGAATTGCAGTTTTTAATGCTGTATTGAATTAAAATACAACTGTCAGTTTTTGAGAGAATACATTCTTAGTTGAACTGTTAAAATTATTAAAATAAGACATCAGTTAATGACGTCATACGCTATATCGATAATTATTAGTTCAAAGGGATTTGAATCCCGAAGGACTATTAGTTTCGTTTTGGCATTTTGCGTCGGACTCATAAATGTCGGTTCACTTTTCAAACTGTTGCCATAAAATGTTAGAGTCCTGCATTATATTTGAAGAAATTAAATAATGAAAAATCTGCATAAATGTATGTATATTTCTCGTATTGTGATAAAACAACGGTACATAGAGTCATCGAATTTTGAATAACGTAATCCTCCAACGAATATGAGCATGTGGAAGACCAAATTTGAAATTTGAAATTTGTTTTATGATCGATTTCCTATTTTTTAAAACTTTGACGAATTTTTGATTAACAAACTTAAGGATTTCAAAGCGAGCAATGACGACGTTGTGCAGAAAAAACATTTTTATCTCCAGCGCGTGAGTCTCTGTATGGGAAATTCTAAAGATATGCTCGTTTTAAAACTATTTTGCGATATTGCTGTTGCACTGGATCTTATGGTTTAAGTGCGAGGAACGTGATATTTAATAAAGAAAGGTAACACAGAAAATGTTAAAAAACGCCCCTTTGGACGTAATTTAAAATCTGAAACATTTCAGATTTTTTTTTTTTTATGATGCAGTGCTTTTTTTCTTTTCTTATAAAGCTCCTCTTATAGCCACAATTAAATTCGTGTGTTTCGCTTGAAGTATAAAAAATAAGAATTCGAATATTTGCATAGAATGAACAAATTATGTGCATACGTTTTTCGCAGAGGACTTCAGAACATTTTAATGCGTTTGAGAGAACAATTATCCAAGTACTAAAAAAAAGCAAACAAAACCGAGAAATACAAAATACAACGAATACGTAACTGTGTGGAACTTGTGAGTCAAAATCAGTTTACATTCATTTGTATACACATATATTTGTTTAATATCATGTATGTTGCGTTCATGTTTTATAAAGTTTTTGAAACATTTTCGGAAATTTTCACTTGTTGTTTATCTTACATATACAGGGTGACCATAATTAAAGTTCGATTAATCACAGCTGCCTATAGCGGTAACCGATCATTCGAAAAGTGTGAAACTTTATATATGACATAAAGGGAAGTAAAAGTCCTTTAGCAGAAACCAAATTATTCTAAATATTGCATTACTGGTCATTTGATTAATAAATTAAAAATTTAGGTATAATTTTCGTTATATAGTTTCGATTACAGCAAATCGCGCTCCACATGGTGGCTATCGTCGTCAAACGTGTGCATGGACATATCATGCACCTGCCGCGAAATGCTGTCTGCGTAAGGTCATGTAGGGTCATTTTAATGACCACATGTTTCAAATTCCCCAAAGCCAAAAATCCCATGGATTCAGGTCTGAAGTCGGTAAAACCACGTATGATGAAAGTGGGGCTGGCGACTCGTATCTTCTGTAAAATGTCTTTTGACAACATTCTTAATACGCTGTGCACTGTCTGGAGCAGCTTTGCGTAAAAACTGTGTGAAAAATTACGTGCTTGCAGAGATGGAGCTTGCACTAATTGCGCTGCATGTCACAGCCGGAGGTCGCTGGGCTCGTGGGAGTTAACTCCTCGAAGAAAAATGCAATCCCAGAATAAATGATGCTGTTAACTCCTCGAAGAAAAATGCAATCCCAGAAGAAATGATGTTATTAACTCCTCGAAGAAAAATGCAATCCCAGAAGAAATGATGCTATTAACTTCTCGAAGAAAAATGCAATCCCAGAATAAATGATTCTGTAAATCCACACCATACCGCCTGATTTAGTTAATGCAACGGAACATCAAGAATCGAGCGAGGATTTTGTAAATCTCAGATTCACTGAACTATCCAAGTGAAAATACGCTTCACCTGTGCTGAGGTTTTGAAGTGAAAGTTGATGTAGCAACCAGATTTTGTACGTCACAGAAACTGGTACAAGGATTTTGTTTAATTGTTCTAACTGTTCAGCTTTATGCACGCGAACTGATATTCGGTCGGCGATTTCCCTGAATCAGCTTTACATTCAAACGCAACTTCATCTCTCTGATTGACTACAGCTTGGACCTTGTTCTCCGGTGAACGACTATAGTAATAATGACGACTAGATCATTGTGTATATGCTCCATATAGCAACATTCACATAATGGTATAATCCTAATTATTGTCATAGCCCTGAGACGTAAAATCATTAACGTCTTTCACACCTGTGGAACAGTTACTAGCCGTAACCAATCAGCCTGTGGCAGCAGACGATAGTCTAGTCATCATTATTTTCATAACTCTAAGACGTATTAACGCTGTTCACACCCATGGAACAAGGTTTAAGCTCTAGCTAATCATGCAGTCAAAGTTGCGCATGCATAACTATTATATGCGCAGTGGACTATATTTAATAATAATAAAAAAAAGAATGCGAAACTTTTATTGAAATGACACCCGATTCATCGTTGCAAGAAAAATTAAAATCAATGCCGGTTGTGAAATTCTGGTGCAATTTAGAAGGTAAATACGCTCAATTAATCTCAAACGATCGTGTTGGCACGTTTACTATTTTCAACTACATATGTGTTCTACATTGTTCTTGGCTTATGCGTCAACAAAAAATAGATACCGCAACAGACGTGGTATATTTAAACTGATACGAGAATTTAACTTTCATCCATAAAGCCTAATATTAAATATATCTGTGGTAGTAAAAAGCATTAATGCTTATTTCATTAAAATTTGAATTTAAAAATTTTGTCTGAATACATTATTTTAAAAACTTTCAAATTAATTTTGAAATTGCGTTTTGAAGCAAATAAAATATTAGTTGAAGTAATTCTCATTTTTATTACAAAAAATCCATTTACAGAATATAGAATTAAAACAGTACTATTGAAGCAAACCCCATACTATTGAAGAAAGAGTTCCACTTGTGAAAAAGATTAAGAAACGCTGCCATAAATGAAACCTGTTCACTCTACGTAGCCAGGGCACCGCCGGATACTTACGAGTAAGCTAGTAAGTATGTAAATAAAAATAAAAATATGATTTTGTATTAGGGATACATTTTAAATTCGTACTGTGCATAACATGTTAAGTAAAAATGAATTTCTAAGATTCTGAATTCTTTCCAATTAGTTTCATAAATTCATTAAAATACAAACTGAAACTAAAATCGTACAAATATTTTTCTCTTTAAAAAGATTACACTCATACTTGCCCTTTAATAAAACCAAGCTCCTATTGTTAAAATGTAACTAAAAAATAAAGACTTACATAAATTGGTGATTGTCAAATAGATTTTCGTGGATTCCAGAGGTTTAAATAACCTTTTTACAGGTAAAAATTCAACATTTTATAGTCCCCCCTGTATCTGGTGAAATAATTATATATAATATTATAAGTAATATCGAAACAATATTACACTCGTTTTTTTTTTTTTTCTACATGCTTGCCATGTGGGTATATTAACATTTTAAAGTAGAAGTAAAGGAATATCTTTTCAAAATTGGCAACGAGAATACAATTTCCAAACATGTAACGGTCACTTAGGTTTTTATTATTAATGTATTTACCATGGATTTGAAAATGTGGACTTGCCTAATGATGAAATATCTTCCATACAATTTCTTCAGGAACAAGGAATTATTCAGTCTGGAAAAAAGTGCACGAAAACCATTAAATGAATATTTAGTCCAAAGGGGCTTTGTCCCTGAAGGACTATTGTTTTCGTTTTGCGATTTTTCGTTGAATCACTATAAATGTCCGTTTCACTTTTCAAACTGTTGCCACCCAATGTTACAGTCCTGCATTATATTTGAAGAAATTAAATAATGAAAAATCTGCATAAATGCCAATTTGAAATATGGAATTTGTTTTATAATCGATTTCATGTTTTGTAAAACTTTAACGGATTTTTGAGTAACAAACTCAATGATTTAAAAGCGAGCAATGGCAACACTCTACAACAGGGGGAAAAAACCTTTTTTCTCTAACAGGGCGCTGAACTGTGTATCGGAAATTCTAAAGATAGGCTCATTTTAAAATTATTTTGTGACATTGCTACTGAACTGAATTTTATGGTTTAAGTGCCGAGAACGTGATATTTAATTAATAAAGGTAACACGCAAAACGTTAAAAATGCGCCCCTTTGGATGTAATTTAAAATCTGAAACTTTTCAGATTTTTTGGTTTATTTAAATTTTTTTTTCTGATTTCTTTAGAAAGTTGTTTAATTTACTTTTAAAATATTTAATTTTACGAATATCTGTTGTTTTTTCAACTTAAATTTTGTCTTCAACGTAACCGTATCGTATTTCATTTATCGGAATTTAAATATTTTGGCTATTATTTTCATGCTTCGAATTTTTCGCCAGATCGTCAGCTTTTGGCGATATCTGAATCCGGCCCCCATAACAGAACAGTACCGCCATGTGTGCGAAAATTATATCACCACCTTTGTATTCTCAAAAATGCTAGAAAATGACCTGCAGATCTTATTAGATGGAACTATATAGCGGCAGGGGCTTACATACAGTTTTTAAATATATATGTTAGTGTTTTTTTGTACTTTTAATACTACAAGTAATAAAGGATCTGATACTTTCATTATAATAAGATTTAAACTAACTGTTTAAAACTAGTTTTATGCGCAAGTTTACCCATGTATATACGCAACATAAAAAAATTATAAAATGGTAATTGAATTTTCTTTCGATAGTATAAACTTTTAATTTTAATGCGTTTTGACCCAGAACCAAAAGAAAGGATTTGTTTAATTAGATATGTATAGTTTTCTTTATACAAGGTAATTTGATTTTCATAATTTATTTATATGAGTTTAATAAAACCTGACTAAACATTAAATTAAACGTTTTGGTACAAAATTTTCAAAGCCAACTTATATTATTTGTGCTGGGGTTTTAGTCTAGAATCAATCTTCTATCGTTTCATAGTATTATTTACTCAATTTTACTTTTTGTACAGTTGTTTCCTATACCTACGTATTATACTAGATGTGGAAGGTTTCAAATTACATAGATTGTAGAGAAAATTATATAATGGACTGTATATAACATAAAAAAAGTGTAACAAAACAGGAAAAAAAAAAAAAGAATTGCTTTTTCATTTGAAATAATGCTACGGATTGTATAATTAATTAATGTTGAATCTCATAACTTTATATATTACACAATTGCATCTGATATTAAATGAAATATCAGAGCTCATGTGAACAAAGATTTTGGGCTAATCTTTAGAATATGGTAACAGGTAGCTTGGCGACATTTTGGTAAGGCGATAAAGGTTACTAGATAGGACTTTAGCAATAATCTGAGAAGTACACAGTTCGAATCACAGATTATTTTGTCTCAGAGAAATGAGACATGTAATGTGACATTTTCCGGAAAATTCCGATCGTGATTTTAGCTGATAAGCCCTTAGAAACAATTTCGCTGTTAAAATGCAGAATCGTCCACTTATTTGGTTGGCGCTTTTTACAAGAGTAAGAAGAATTGGATTTTTGTCAATTTTCTATGACTTTTTAAGCGAAAATAGGTCGATGTGTACATGGATAAAGTCAAGAGTGTGCGCAATGCCATTTTTGTGCAATTCTGGGATGATTTTTTTTAAGTGAAAATAGGTCGACGTGTACATGGATACCGTGTATGTGCAGTTCTTAAAAACGCGGCAAGCAGTTTGCGATTCTGCACTTTCTCCCAATTTCGCACCTAATTTTCGTCATGAGCAAGCATTTTTGTTCCATAAAAGTTCTAGTATAAGCGTAATTCAGCTAGCAGATTGTTGGAAAAAATGTTGAGTTAAAAAGAAGAAAAAAAAAGAAAAAAAAAAAAAATGCCTTTACTTCGGGAAAACAAAATGGCGTCCAGAAAAAAAAACTAGCAGGATTGGTCGCCAAATTTTCGCCAAAAAATTGCCAAGTTGCCATAATGTAAAGATTCACCAGATTTTGTGTTCCGTGACAGAAATTACTATTTCTTTCAGAAGGTAATTCGGAGCTCTGCTCCTGTGTACTCCTGCTAAAATGAAATACGATTCAAGGCGAAAGATAAACTCGTGGTCAGTATACGAAAGCGGTTGTTAACCGTGTTTATTCTGTTTTACGTTCTATAGTACTGTGTATTATTCCGTCGACGGGGGAAATGTCGCCAAGCAGTACGATTTAGTGCCGATTTGGGATAAACGAGACGTCACAGCACACTCATAGCAACACTTTCGTTTGATGTAGCCCCAATCGACTCCCGGCAAGTTTCTCGGCAGTTCACCTTTCGTTTCTATGAACAGTGATATAAATTAACTGTAATTTCTGTGTTTCTTCTTGCATTTTGAAAAATTTGTCGGGAGATTTCTTCTCAAAGCATTCGAAACAGAACTTCCGGTAAATTCGAAGAGACTGACCTATTAGTAGAAATGGATGAAAGTCTTTTTCTAAGCGCAAAAACGAAGTGGTCAAATACTTTCGCAGCAGTGGCTATTTGGCAGACTGCGCAGAGACTGAGAAATGTTTTGTTGTGAAAGTTGCAGATGGAAGTGCCGCTCCGAGTTCTTCAGGAAGTATTGCGCAACCTTTAGTAGGATTTCCGCCAACTTTTACGGTAGAGGGAATAATATGTAAGTACCCTTTATATTTATTCACTTCAGGTTATCAAAAACCTGGGGAAGAAAGAATCGGCAGGTAACTTAAGACATGACTAATTTAATGGAAAATTAATAAAATAAATAACGATAATTAAAAAATAAATTTTTTCCTAACAAATAGCACTGAAGAATATATTAACAAAAATAATATCAATTTTTGGAAAGTTTGTTTCCGTGGCGAAATTATACATTCCTTAAATACACGAGTTAAAATAGTTGCTCTGAAATTTCAGTGTTTTTTAACATCTTTCTTATAATCTTATTATATAAATTTGAGGCGTTTGTATTGAGTCTTTCGGTTTGACTTCGGAAGACCTTTCATCTCTGAACTCTGCAGATTCATCTTCCTTCGCCGATGCTTGGTCATTGGACGAACTCCAAGTCTGCAGCTCTGCTGATCCAAATATGTGAAATATAACACCACTACCGATGCTAACAGCAGCAGAAATATATAAAATTTTATGCCACTGAGCAATTGTTTGCTGTAAGAAAAAAACAAAAAATTACTATTAAGGTATAACGTTAATACGTCAGGTATAATTTTAGCATTTTGTGTATACTTAGTAATTTGAAAAAAAGAGCTTTTTAAAAATTTTCTCTTACGATTCAGTATGCAGGTTGTTTAAAATTCAGTTACACTTTCTGGTTTGGTTTATACAATTATGGCGAAACACGCTATGGCTTACCTGTATAAGGGAAGGGTTGCCTTCATGGAGGATTTTCGAAGGGAAACTGGTTCGAAACACATGGGGAAAACTATGAAAACGCCCATGCAGCCAGCCTGTTCGTGTGGAATTTGAACTCAGGTCGAGCGAAAACATTGGGGTTATAGGCGAAAACATTGGGGAGAAAAGATAGCAGAGAAAAACAGCGTGTAAGGGGGAAACATTTTTATGCAAAATATCATGGGAGAAAAGGAGATAAAACACAGTGATATAAAGCATCGATGTAGAAAATAAAACTATTCAAAAACAAGGTTTTGGTATAAATAGAGGGTTTAATCCTAGTATCCGGTGCACACGGGATTTGGCTACTTTTGGCGACTTTATGATGAGCAGTAAAAACCGGACATTGCGATGAGTAGTTAACGGGTCATTCAAAGAAAATATATAGTTAAACATAGTATATACTATGTATATAGTATATATGCTATGTATATACACACATAGTATATAGTGTATAGTATATATATATATAGACGTTCTTTGGATCATTTTTGGTGTTGGCGATAATTTTCAAAGTCGCGCCAAGGCTGCACCGTATACTAGGATTTTACCAAATAGAGCACCTAAAAATCATCGCAGGCATATCTTTTTAGAGATAAAAAGTTTTAAATGTATTTTCATATAATGATTTGAGAGCACAAGAAAGAATAAGAAACCTTTTTAGCTCTATGCTTCATAATTTTTAATTATTAACTACTAAATTTTTACTGAAAAACAAAAGGAAAACGTAAGCGTTTAATAATTCAAAATCAGTAAAAATTAGTAGGCAGAACAGTCATATGAAATTTAAAGTTATGTGGTTAAATATTAAATATTATTTATTTAATCTCTTTATAACATCGTATTAACAGTTTTTTTATGAAAAATGTAATGTTAAAAAATTAGAAATGGGAAGATGAGTAACTGCATGAGGTTACCTATAACTAAAGTTGTATAATTAATTTTCAAAATATAAAATCATTTCTTTTTACCTTTGTTAATTTGATATTCTTTTAGTAAAAATTAAGCTTTGTTTTGTTTCAGCTAAATCATCATCTTAAAGTGTTATTTTAACATCTTCAAGTATGAGGCTGCTATGATTGGTAGGGGATTTATATTTTACCCCGATATTTTTCTCAACGCTGTTCAAAAACGGTTTCTTAGCTACAACTATGTTTTATTTCATGATATTTTAGAATAGTGATTATTTTCATCTTGCTTTCTTTTCTCTCACGATGTTTTGAATGACGATGCTTTTTCCTTTGCGTTCTCTATGATGGTTTCGTCTGCGATGTTTTTGTTGAATCCCGAATTACCAGTGTTCAGCGACTTAACCGCTCGGCCATTGATACTACTTGAACTCGGCTGAATTATTTAGGCCAAAATATGTCAACACAAGGAAGCCGTCACTCTCTGCTCTTCCGCTTCAACAACCAGTCCAGAGGATTTGGGATGACAGGTTCAAGTGTTATATTCGGTAACTACTCTACAGTCTCAAAGCCACAGTTTTTTATTCACAGTTTTTTATTTAATGTTAAAAACTCAGAGTTATTAGGTTTCAACAACATATATTACAACGAAATCCCGATTAGACGGTACACTTTAGGATACCTTTCATTTAATGATTGTTCTCACTGATATTGGCCAGAAAAGTTATTTGTGTAAAAGATTTTTTTGGGGAGGCGGCATGTGTGTGTGCTAATATTTTGCCCTTGTTGATTTAAAAAAATAAAAGAACTGAATAATTGTTAAATACTAACAAAATTTCTGCATTTTGTAACATGGTTACGCCCAGTTTTAATCATAACTTTCAATGCTCTTTGACAACATTTTTAATTTAAGATTTGACTGTTGTTGCACTGTGCTGTACTGGATACAATAATACATATATGTAAAGGCTTTGCCAGATTTTTGCATGATAAATTAGACACATGAAGCAATAGATTAATTTTAAATAATAAAATCTTTAATTATAAGATAACTATTAAGAGTTCAATTATCCGATTAAAGGTTTTTCTTCAATTTAATCAGTACTTTCTCATTCTTCACATTTTGACAGGGGCGTAGCTAGAGCGGGGGGCAAGGGGGGCATCTGTTCCCGGGCGCAGAATACAAGGGGCGCCAAACTGATGTTACGACATTTTAGAATTAAATGTTTCCCATCCTTGGCAAGCAGTAGGGGGCGGGAAATCTTCAGTTGTCCCTGGGCGCTGAAAACCCTAGCTACGACTCTGCATTTTGAGATCACTTTTCAGTACATTATCGAATACTGTTTCATATTCTACTTTTTTGTTGGCGCCATCTATTGAGGAAACGTTACTCTAAAAAGACATACTGATAGTGTTTCCGAAGTAGAGAAAATAAATTGTAATAATCATAATAATTACCTTGCGATCTGAAAACTTTAATTTGAAATACATAAAATACTAGCCGGATCCATGCGAAAAATTTGTGCGAAATTTTTTCAGCCTCCTAAATCAGTCCAGGTTCCGTATGATGATGATGTAAATTTACATTTTTAGTAACGTGAGATAGAATGGGTAAAAGCAAAAGAATTATGCTGAATCGTTTTTCATGTAGCTTTTTATAGTGCTTCAATGAATTTTTGTTCGGTAATATAAGTAGTTAACAAAAATTAAAACTGTTGTTCAACGACACCAATGGAACTTGCAACGCGCATTCAGCGCTTTTTGCAACTCACCAACAGATAAAAGAATTTTGTAGTTTGTTTATCTTTGAAAAGGCAGCATTCAATTTGTTTTTTCCAATGATAAAAAACGACGGAAAAATTTCTTAACCAGGCCCTAGAATCACCACTCGAGTTACAGTAATACATAGTATCTTCTCGGCAGGGCTTAATTTCTAAAATTAGAAGTGCCGGAGCCGTCAGCAAAGAGGAACAAATGTAAATAAATAAATGAAATGACTATTAAAATCATTAATAATTTTAAAATTAAATAGTTAATAATTAATTAATTAATTATAATAATTTAATTAATTAATAATTTATTCGATTAATTATAATAATTAATATCTGTCAATTATTATTTAATTCATGATTATTATTTAATTTAATAGCATTAATTCATTATTATTATTAAAACAGAATTTTCGAAATCAAATTTCTACTGAAATTATTGTTCAGTTACATAAAAGAAGCGCCGGAGCCTTCTAATTTAGGGCTCCGGTCTGCTCCTGCTAGAATTATGATTTATTCCTTAAACTAAGAAGTATCGGAGCCAGGCTCCGGTGGGCTCTGGCTCAATATAAGCTCAGCTTTCCAGATTCGTTTTCTGAGTTCAAAAGGTTAAAACTGTTTGCTACGCTGATCGCAAATTAACCGTTCTGCACACATTTGTTACATAAGTGCCCACCTTTACTAATTGGGGATGCTGATCATGAAACTAATATTAAAAAAGTTCGATTGGCTCTCGTTTAGATGTAAATGAAAAACAGGTAAACTTATTTACGAGAATTTGATTACGCAAGGAAATAATGTTTACCGTCTAGCAGTGTCACGTGGCCGCACATGTGGAAATATGCACAAAATAATTACTCGATAAGGTTAACAATGGTAATTTTAATCAGGCGAGTATATAACGCTCCTACAACTCCCGCGGCGAGGAAAGGCGCAGGACCGGCCAGTTTAAGCAATTTCGGAGCCCCCGTAATGTGCTGTTTGGTGGTCCGAAACGGGGTCGTCTTAAAAATGTTATTTTTTAAAAAAGATTTCTCTAGATTATTACATAATTCATTCACTCCAATCGTTTAATTTCGGAAACAAGAAATGTTACGTAATTTATTGGGTCATCTGTTAACAAGTTTTGCACTGATACAGTTGAAGCAGTACAAAGCAATAAGAAATTTTCGTTAAACCACATAAGCACCATTTTATTCTATATGACTTTTGTCATCTCTCAGGCAGTTGGAAAATTCCTTTTTTATTTCCTCTTACGATTTAAAGAAAGTATTGTAATCATGAAAAATTTCGGTTATCAGATTTTCAACGAAATTATCCACTTTGACAGTTTCCGATTCCGTTTTGACCATTTTTAGTCAAATGCTGAGGCGTCTAGCAGCGGTTAATTACAAACGTGGAGGCTAAAGTCCCTATCACATATGCTTCTTATACGCGGGACTGAACATCACATCGAAAAGACCATTTCTCAGAACCCGCACATTTCCACGAAACCTACGTAGCTACTGTCTGTGTACGGTAAGAACAGGTCCCGCCACGGTGTCTGGCGAGTGGCGGTCGCTATAGCAACAGGGCTAGTATATTTCAAATAGGGACGAACCAAGGGTTGCTTTATTGTTATTTTGTTTTTGGCGACTGTTGGCTTAAGGGAAGTTTATCATTCGTCTTCTCGGCTTCATTCCAGCTGCACGCATCTTTTCTTAAGCCTTATATTATTACTATTAGCTCTTTTTATTCTCGTTGTTATATCATTTGTGCTAGCATTTGCTCAAATTCGCTTCTATTTAGCTTGATTTTCGTAGTGCTTTGTTAATCGCCAATTTTTTAAAATGCCCTTCCAGTTTAAGAAAGGTCAACCTTTAAAGTCTCAGTCACGTCAAATCGTGTGTATAGTGTCGCAGAATTTTGCGCTTCTGAAGTTTCGGCGAACTCTTTAGTAGTTCCTCTTCCTTAAGTTTTCCTACTGAATATCAGAGCAATTAAAAAAATTAAGACAAAGTATCAACAATGGGTGAAAATAAACTTCTGAATACACTTGGAAAGAAATGTAAAAGCTCTGCTAATCATAAATGTGAAATTTACGATTTTGACAAATGCGTTCTACGGCAGACAATACAAGACTTTTACATCAAAGAAAAGAAAGTGCCATCTGTGCGGAAATTACTGCCTGTCTTGAGGCAAAAATTAGACTTCCCGTGGCAAAAAGACTCTTTGTGCAAAGTTTTGTGTTCAATGAATTTTCGTTGGAATGCGTAGAAAAAAAAAAAAAAAAAAAAAAATCGAAAGACCTCACATTGTATTTTGGAGGAACAATTATTTACGCGAAATGAGAAAACTCAGAGCAAGTGAACGAACGCCACATCGTTTAAATCGATGAAACATGGATTGACAGCAATTTAACTTTTAAGAAATTTTGGCAACATGATACGGTTTTGGGCGCACAGCCAGTTTCCCTTAGCAAGCCCTCCATGGAGGCATCCCTCCTCTTAGGCCTGGAGGCTTTCCGTAATCATATAAACCAACCCAAACCACTGGTAATTAAGGAAAAAGCAGTTCTGATTTTAATTCACCTTCGCTTCCTTCCGCAATTAAATTAACCAGCTTTTGGTTTAGTTTAAAAAGGTATGAGAAAGAAGAAATGTTCGCAAAAAGTATTTATTGAGAGCATGGGTATGTAAAAAAATGCTTTTACTTTCAAGATGATTCTATATACATTTAATGATGAAATTTTTAGTCATTATTAAAGCACAAGCAATAAATTAACAGAAAATTTTGAAATAAAAACATAGCAGAACGTCATTTAAAGACTTGAAGAAATTGCTTTGAATGTTCACGGTAGATCAGCTAGAGGGGAGAACTATAAAAATTAAATTTATTTTATATTTATGAAGTGCGTCTATACTATATAAAGAGAATGGGGCAATCAAGTAGATTTCTAAGATGTCATCTATGAATCTTTGCAAGCAAACAAATAAACAAAAAAGAAGCAAAATAATAGCATGATTTTTTTAAATGTCGAAATTAAAATTTTTCTTCAAAAATAAACACGGATTTTTAAATTTATTTCCCTACAAGTTTATTTTTACTCATTGTACATCTAGAGGGATTGCAAATTTAGCGACTTGTACCTCACACGGCAAAATCAAAGACCGTTTCTTGACTGCAAAAGCTTTATCTACGCCATCGAATTTCATTTTCGGAAATTGGATGTCGGGGTCGACGCAAAGGGTCAACAAGCATTTTACTTGAAACTAAAACAAAATGTGAATATCGCCAAATCATCTTTAAATGCGCCAAGGTGGCAAACTCAGAAGTAAGTCTTCAAGACACCCCTACGAAAAATGGGTTAGGGCTCATTTCTACGGCAACAGACAGCTGCAGACAAACTGGCGAGAGCTGTTCTTACCATAGACAGACAGTAGGTTACCATTTTTATTTACTAAACAGATATGAACGCCAAGCAGTAATCGATTATCTCTTAGACTGGGATCGCGTGATCCTTCAGCAGCAGAACATTCGTCTGATCTCTACGCGGGACGGAGAGGCAGACGGAACATTTGCGGCGAAGTTTCAAAATATCCCGCGTAGCCAGGACATAGTTTCCGTAGCTAAGCGAGACTTTGCTTCCAGTGGAAATATTTCTCCTAGGAATCCTCCCGTTTAAACCAATGCTACCAGAATCTCGTTTCTCAGAAAAGTCCCGTCGCTAGATGCGATAATCCCTTAAGGCTTGATTGGTTTTGTGTCCTTACTCCTTACTGCGCGTGTAATACTATTTTAGAAGCTGCGCAAGGATCTCTTAGACGGCTCAATAAGCAATGGGTACGGCCATTTGGTTTAACATACTGAAAGAGAAAGAACTCCGGCTGATTGAATAATTGCAAGTAGATTTGTAAGGATCTTAAGTTTTACTAACGTTTATTTTATTTTAAAACTGTACTATCACTTCTTATTTTCTACTTCCGGCCAGAATTAAACGCTTTAACTTATTTATGCAAATTGTTTTGCTAACGCCAAGTACTTAAGTTGTGGCTTTTTGCCAAGCAAGAGAGAGGAAGGAGTTATTGGAAGCAAACCGCTTGCCACTGTAGTTTTACGAGTTTTCACTCTGTTGCTGGTTGCCTTCAAGGCCAGAGGTTTAGCCCTCTTGATAATTGCAGACGTATCGTAGTTCTAGCAGCTCGGCGTACTACATACCTACCTTTCTTTAAATAAAGGCCAGTCTTAGTGTTAGGCACTTGTATACTAATTCAAAGTTAGTTTTAGTTAGAGTTTTAGTTAGTAGTTCTTATATTCTTACGTTCAGACCACAAGTGATTGGTCTCGGTATTCCGAAGTTTCGGAAATTCCTGTAAAGTATAGAAAATAAAGGGTTTCGTATACCCTTCCTGCTTGTATTGTCTACTTCACACATCCTTTAACATACTAGCTTGAGTAAGCTCCTTGTTCCTATTCAGGACCAGTCATGTTTCCAAAGCAAGTCAAAAGAAACACTAGTCCTGATAGATTTACCGAGAGCAAAACTAACTATTAATGTACTTTTAAAATAGTGAAACAGTTTTCGAATAAAAAGAGGCATTTTAAACAATTTTAGAATGATATCGTTTTTCCGTCTAGCGGGTCCGTCGCTAGATGTGATAACTCCTTAAGACTCAATAATGATTTTCTCGTCTTCCTTGCCTCAAAGAAGGCCGTATTTCAAATCATTTAATATTGGTATTATATATAATCCCTGAAATAAGTTTGGCTTTGATGTCTCTTGTCCTTCTTCGTGTTTTTTGCATTTTGGATGACCAACAGTGTATTTTACCTCCGTAACAGAGAAAACGTTAAAATTTAAAGAACGGTGCCATTATTCAGGACCCAAGTATGGAACGCATGGCATATGAAACACTAATTATAACAGTACTGAAAATATTTATGAAAATCAGTTGAAATAAGAAAATATCAAATCATTGAAAGTGTTTTTTACAGTTTAAACATAATTAAAAATGTAATCCTAGAGGAAGTGGCTTGAAATCCACTACAAAATTTCATCATCACCAGTCGGTTTTATTCAGGGTTCAAATGATAGAAGTACGATTAGAAATTTTGCAATCAGTGAATTTTATAGCGATATTAGAAACCTATTTTATTTGTGACACTCATAATGTAAAATTTAAATAAAATGTGAAATATTATTGAGAAGAGCAGGTAAAATTATTGTTCAAATGATTAAGAGAAATAGCTTACGCATGGTCGCTTGGCAAAAGCGTCTGTTTATTCTAGACGTGATTAATCGCAAAATGAGAATAATAATAAGGTTTTTTCGAAGAGTTAAAAAAAATGTGCATCAAGATTTCTAAATCTTATTTTTTTCCATATTTTTCTCCTTTATTAATTAATTAGTGAGTAATAATGTTGTATTGCTGATATTGTTGAATAATGCTCACTTGTCTGACTTATAGTCAGCCCAAACTCACGAAATTTCTCATGGCAAGGAGCGCAAGATTACGCAATAGCTTTGAGCACCTTACAGGTGACATTGCGACAGTCCGAGGGTCTCCCTACCCTTTTCCGCTACCACCAACCTCTCGAGAGGCCTTTCCGCTCGTCGCACATTTAGAGTCCCTCAATGCCGCATGGACACTATACATTTACAAACATCTATGCTTTCTCCGGGATTCGAACCCCAGCCTTTCGGAAATGCAGTTAGCGATGCTAATCACTATGTCGGTTGGACGACGCAATAATGTATGCTTATTACGTAGGTTTGTAAGCAGTTTAAAAGTTAATACATATTGCCTTTAGAAGATTTAAATATTTACCAATCCCTTTTCTATCAACTGCTGTTTAATTAGTTAGAAAATGAATTCGTTTCCATTTAATTTCATAAAATTTTAAACTAGAAAAGGAGAGTATGTTTACCTCTTGACTGGTGATGAATCCAACGACAAGAGGTATGATAAAACCTGACGTACTGGCTATTGTACAAGACATCCCCATCAGGGTTCCTAAATAAAAGGGAAACATGAATCTGAGATTTCCATATGGGTATCTAAGCAACTTTTTAATCTTAAAAAAATATGATTATTAAATCAAATAAGAATAAAATAGCATCTAATGACCAGATTTAAACAGATTTTTACGATCGACATTGTGTTTTAATAGCGCTCTGGATTTATGAAAGAAGAATAATTCTATTAACAATTAGAATATAAAATTTAAAAAAAAAAAAAAAAAAAAAAAAAAAAAAAGAAGTATTGAAATGCTATCCAAAACACTTTTGAGTGACATTCTTTTAAAAGCAAAAATATCTGTTGTCATTTCTACAGTATGAAGCTTGAAATATTTATGGCTTTTTCTTAACAAAGGTATTTCTTCGAAAACGAATGCATCTGTTTTTACCGACATTTAAAAAAAAATGGTACAATGTAGGAGTGGTATTTAAGAGTTATGAGTTAACAAGCCTTAGCTGTATTAATTTAGTGTAATAATCGAGATAACAAGTGCTGCTGAACGTGAAAAGCATTCACAAAATATATATATCAAATCTTTGTTGCATGTTCAGGTAACTTATAAGTTTAGAATAGAAATAGAAATTAAATAAAAACATCACAAAAAAAAATCTGAAATAGGTATTTCAGATTTTAAAATCGTCCAAAGGGGCGTTTCTTTAACGTTTTGTGTGTTACCTTATTTATTAAATATCATGTTCTTTGCACTTAAACCATAAAGTTTAGTTTAATAGCAATATCGCAAAATAATTTTAAAATGAGCCTATTTTTTAGAATTTCCGATACACAGTTCGACGCGCTGGAGATAAAAAGGTTCCCCCCCCCTCGTAGAATGTTGTCATTGCTCGCTTTTAAATCGTTGAGTTTGGTTACTCAAAAATTCGTTAAAGTTTTACAAAATATGAAATTGATCATAAAACAAATTCCAAACTTCAAATTTGGGATTTCAGATGCCCATATTCGCGGTAGGATTACGTCATTCAAAACTGGATGGCTCTAGATACCGTTGTTTTATCACAATGCGAGAAATACACATACATTGATGCAGATTTTTCATTATTTAATTTCTTCAAATATAATGCAGGACTTTAACATTTTGTGGCAACAGTTTGAAAAGTGAACCGACATTTATAGGAGTCCGATGTAAAATGCGAAAACGAAATTAATAGTTCAAATCCCTTTGGACTAATAAAGACATTTATCCCGAAAAGAAACTTGGTTCTACACTTTTCCCCAATTTTAACGAAAACTGTACAATGCAGTGTAATCTGTGCGTCTAGTATACAGTAGTTCTCAACCTTTGTTTGCTCCATGCACCCTTTTCATTATTGCCAGACAATCATCCCCCCTTCATTCCAAAACTTAAAAAATACGCACACATTTTATTTAGATTATTTTTAATGTGTTTTGTAAATTAAACAATAAAAGTTATAGAAAATGTTACTAAATGTCAAAACTTGAATATGAGCCTCCACGTAATTTATGGATTTCTTTATTGGATATCCTGTACACAACTGACATCTAAAATCTTCAGACAAAAGTCAAATCAACGTGCGAAGGTAAATAGATTGGCAGCGAGTTCATTGTAGTTAATTAATGTGTTGGTGCTTTGATTCTGTATACAGAAACTACTCGCAGATTTTTTTAATTTTTTATGTTTTAAATGTTGTATTTGATAACCCTAATATCGAAGACCATAAAGCCTTTTGTCCTATCCGAAAAGGTATTGTATTTCATTGCTCTCAAACAGCTTTCCACTTTTCTCCGCTCTCCTTGTTTTTAATTTGCCGTTATATGTAAAACCAGCAACAATCATAAGTCCCTTAGAAAAACTTTATTTAGATTCCTTGAACCATGATTCGACTACTGTGACAGCATTTTTCCATTTTTGTTCGGATAAATGTTTCTCATAAAGAATTCTGCAGCGCGTTCTGCATTCGGCGATATGTCGTAGAGAAAGACGATGCACATTATGTTTTTTTCGCCTTTTTATGATTCAAACCAGCATTAATCACTTTGTCACTTGAAGCTAAATTTTGACGTTTTTCTCCTTTGTTGTTGACAACTTTACCTAGCGTAGTTTTAGATACAGAAAAATCATGGCTTTCACAACGTTTTTACTTTCTTGTACGAAGTAAAAAGGAAGTATTGTAATCGCGAAAAGTTTCAGGCAGCATATTTCAACGAAAATATCCATTTTGACCGCTATCGAATGCAATTTAACGATGTTTTTGCGTGACATCTCTACGTAAGGACAGAATAAAAGACTCGTTTCCTCCAAAAAATAAATAAATAAATAAAATAAAATAAAATAAAATAAAATAAATAAAACTGCTTTAAAATTAATTTTGAAGAGAATTTTTCGTGGCGTCTGTACGAACGTATGTACGTACGTACGTATATATCTCGCATAACTCAAAAACGAGTAGCCTCAGAACGTTGAAATTTTGTATATATGAAATTTTGTATCCTTTCTGGAAATTTTTTGAGGAAATAAGTGTTTAAGATTTACTTCGTAATTTTTAATATAGATATTTTGAGTTTTTATGGATTTTTGCCTTCTCGCGAAGTGAGAACTGAATTAATTAAATGGGAAATACTCAATCGTTTGTGAAAAACTGTTTCTTTTTTGTTTTGTTTGCTTAATTTCTTTTATACATCATTCTAGCTTTATTATAGTATTTGAATAGAACATGTGGCAACGATTAGATAATTCTGTTCTTTAAATGATATAAATTTTGTGCATTCTGAGTTATAATATGAACGAAATATAATACTGTTAAGTGAATCTAGCGCCAGAGTGTCGCTATGGTAAACAAATACTAGAGTGAATTTTAAAGAATGCATTTATTCTATTGTGGTTTATGCGCTGTCGGCGAAGTAGATTTAATTAAATCCAATAAGTTTAAACGAAATGCAAGAAAAAATGCGTATAATTTAATATTCCGTACAAATAAGTCATGTGGTGTACACATCAGAATTTTTAATAACCGGATGCGAATAATTTTCATCGGAGAGAACACAAACATAGCTTTCCATCCACTATTTCTTTAAAATCGGCGTTTTACATAAAAACAAAACTGTTAAGTAGCAGATGATAATTTATACTTTCAAAAATATAGCTTCAGTTACAAAAAAGTTCCAAGCAAAGGACTTTTTTAGAACAAAGCAAAATCATCTAAAAAATGTGCTAAGAGCTCCTCTGTAGGTGCTACTTTGGTAAACGGTTGCACGAATTTTGGAGATTTTTTTTTTGGCGAGCGACATGACTTATGGTAAACCCATTGCTAGACTAGTTATTTATGGTAACCGATACTTTGTTGTCATTTTATTTAAAAAGTAATGCGTTTTATTATGCATAAATTCCGTGTTTTAAATATTATTTATGGCTTCTAAATATTAGAAATCAATTTAATTTTCCGTTTTTATTTGAAAAAAAGCTTTTATTGTTTATGATATTTTATATAATTTTATGTTGTGGATGATGTAATCAATGACGTCACCTTACATTAAAAGAAATTGGTTTTAGTATTTATAAATTTAATCTAATGTTTTAAACATTATTTATGGCTATTAAGTATTAAAATACAATTTAATTTTGTATTTTTTTTTGAAAAATGATTTTATTTTGTATGATTATTTAAATAATTTTACTTCTATGCGTGATGTATTCAGCTCCCTACAGCGCCATTTTATAATTTTATTATTCAACTCTTCGAATTCCATAGATTTCAGTAAACTTTCAATTACTGCCCTTCATATTGCATTTTTCAAATTTTGTTTCTTTGATATCTAAATCATGATTCCGATTTTTTTTGTGGTACTTAATCAATATACTACAGGTTAACTTCTCCAAAAAATGTAAGTACATATTTTTCTTTTACTTTATAATTGTATACTTCAATTTTTTATTAAAAAATTAATACACTGTTTTCAAAAATTGCTGAGATATTTATTGCCACATGTGTTTTAATGTTAAATAGTTATATCCTATAAAATTTATTTTAAAGTATTTGAATTTAAGTAATATTTTAATTCTTTTAAACGTTGGTATGATGTTTTTAATTCGATATTCAATTTAAGTAATATTTTAATCCAATTAAACCTTGGCGGAATGTTTTCATAGAGGTGTTTTTAGTCTATTTCTTTGCTATATGAAAGCAATAGTTTAACCTTATAGTATTTTATACTCGTAAATGTATTTATTTACATTTGTCTGCCATCTTAAAAAATGACGTTTTCAACAAAAAATGAATGCATTATTTTTAAGGATATTTATTTTTTTAAAGTTTCGAATACTTCACAATACATAAAATATGTAGAAACAGCGTTTTTCAAGATGGCTGACGATTGTAGAGACCGTGCCAACAATTGCGCCAACGTAAATCGCCAAAAGTCCGTGCAACCGTCTACCAAAGTAGCACCCCTCTGTATAAGCGTGCTTAGCAACAAATACCCTCTGTTTATTTAATTTTGGCATTATTATTTTAGAGGATCATTGTATATAAATGAAGCAGTTTTTTATGATAATTTTAAACGGTAGCAGATCTTTATAATAATTACTTATGTGAGTTCTTAGATAACAGACAAGTTAAAGTTTGAACATAATTAGAATTTAATTGAATACAGGTGCACTTGGCGTATAAGAAAGCATCTTAAACAAACCACAAAATTTTACTGTCAGAAGTTTACAACAAACGAAAACTTACAAAGGCATTTGGAAACATTTCATAGATTAAGCTACTTAATGATACTCACCAGCAAATTCGGAGGTCATGTCCAGAGGAACTGTCAAGCTCCCAGGAAAACCGAAACCTATGCAACTCATAGCGATAACAAAGAGAACTGTGTTAAGAGTTATATCACAGCCAGCATAGCTCGCACAGAGCAGACTCAAGGAGAAACCTGCGCAACCTAAAAACACAATGCATCACTTATTTTCATACTAAAGACACAATATCTGCAAAATTAAAAATTATTAAGATTACTACGACAATAGTACAAAAAAAAAAAAAAAAAAAAAAAAAAAAAAAAACTGAAAGTTTTCAGATTTGATAGTACGCTCAAAAGGGCTTTTTTTTTTTGGTGTGTGTTACATATATGTATTAAAAAATATCACGTTCTTCGCACTTAAACCATAAAATTCAATTCAACAGCAATATCGCAAAAAGGTTTTAAAATGAGCATATCTTTAGAATTTCCGATACACAATCTCGCGCAATGGAGATAAATTTTTTTTTTTTTTCGTACAGTGTTGCTATTGCTCGCTTTGAAATCGTTGAGTTTCTTAATAAAAAATTCGTTAAAATTTTATAAAATATGAAATCGACAATAAAACCAATTCGAAATTCCAAATTTGGGCTTCCAGATGCCCATATTTGAGTGGAGTACTACGTTATTCCAAATTGGATGTCTCTACGTACCGTTGGCCCACCAGCGGCCAAGCGGTAAAGTCGCTGAACACTGGTAGTTCGGTCCGAGGTTCGAATCCCGCGAACGGGCTGGCTGCATGGGCGTTTTCGTGGTTTTCCCCATGTGTAACGTGTATACGAGCCAGTTTCCCTTAGAAAGTCCTCCACGAAGGCATCCCTCCCCTTAGGCAGATAGCCCTAGTGTACTTTGCCATAATTAAATCACACACACACACACACACACTAGGTACCGTTGTTTTTCCACAGTGAGAGAGACATACATACATTCAGGCAGGTTCTTTATTATTTAATTTCTTTAAATATAATGCAGGGCTCTAATATTTGGTGGCAGCAGTTTGAAAAGTGATTCAGACTTCTATAGTGAACCAACGCAAAATGCCAAAACGAAATTAATAACCCTTCTGGACAAATTGCCTCTTTGGGTTAAAAACTAAACATTTTGCACATTTACCTATACAAAGAAGAAAATATGTGCAAGACTTTATATTTAGAGTTACTGCTATATCAATTTACTTAGTGCTTAAGCCATTATCCCTCTATAAACAGAATTAAAAGTAGTTTATATTTCAAGTTTATATTTTTAAAACTAATCTTTTAATTTTGGAAATGTAGTATTTCATTATACATTATATGTAGTATATGTAGTATATGTAGTAGAAATGTAGTATTTCATTATACATTAAGAGAGGGGGGAAAGAATCGATGTTTTCTTCCATAAACCGCACAACTATATGGAATTCGTATCAACTGAAACCGTAAGAATGAAATGGCTTTAGTAATATTGTTAACATTTGCTGTTTAAAAAGAGAATAAATTTATTTTATGGTTTATTTTATAGTTTACTAGCAGCTTCGCTGCCAGCCTTCGTGTGGCTGTTAAATGTACCGGGAAAATGGCTGAAGGGAACACCAAATGTTAAATTTAAAAACTGCGTAGAATTTTACTCTGCAGAACAACTTCATTAAAAAAACGTTATTACGTATAACAAAATTACAATGAAATAAGCAATGTCCCTTAATACAAATATTAATTATCCTAATAATAAATTAACCAAAATCCCTTTGCAAAATCTTAAGAACTCAAATGGTATAAAGGAGGTTAATAACTTTGTTTCCTAAAAAAATCAGTCAAAACTTTTCAATATCTTAAAAAAAGTGAAATGAGCAATAAATAAAATAAAGGAATGCAAAAAACAAAAAATTCTGAAAAGCAAAGTATAATTAATGATATTTTATCTTATGTTTTCAAGGGAAAAAATTACAACAATGAAATAAGCTATATCCCTTAATAGAAATATTAATTATCCTAATTAAAAAAAATTAACCAACTTTCCGTTGAAGAAAAAAAATCATGTAAAACTTTTCAATATCTTATAAACAGTGAAATAAGCAAAAAATAACAAGAAAGCAACTTGAAAAACATAAAATTCCGCGCAAAATTTTACTCTGCAAAACAACTTTATAAAAAAAGTCAATAAAAATGGATTATATATCTATAAAAATGACAATGAAATATGCCAATCTCTTGAAAACAGTGACGTGAGAAGAAATACGATGGAAAATTGTTGCCAAACCCATATTTCTAAAAGAATGAAACTATTCAAAATGATGCGATTTCATCAAAAATCTATCAACAACAATTAGACAAGAAAATTGTTGCCAAAATCACATTTTTAAAGATGTGAGATGTGAGAAGTGTACTCGGAAGCTTCATTTAAAAAATTCTTTTTAAAAATACAAAATATTATATTCATTTTTTTCCAAAATTCTTTTTGTAAAAGCATTCGCAAGGATGAAAGTTTAACGTGTCCAAAAATCAAAGAAAAATAAACTGTTACATTTTTAAAAATAAACTTTTTAGAAAAAAATCCCGTTGAAAAGGCGTTAAGCTCACCTTTGTTAAATAAATTCGTATTTAATCGATTTATTGAAACACGAAATTTATTTTAAGTTTGTAAAAATAGCTAAGTGCCTACGTTTCATGACGATGTGAAAATGGAGTCTGTAGAGTAAAATCTCACTTTCCTATAGCCCATTATGTCTCAAAATGACGCTTCGTCACAAAACATAAAATAAAAAAAATTCTAATTCGAATTTCGAAAAAATCGCTTCGAGGTGCACTGGCTCTTGTCTAGATGCACCTATTTTCTTGCTCTTGTCTAGATGCACCAAATTTCGTAGCCGTGGGTCTGTTAGCTTACGCGCAGCGCGAACGAAAAACACACAGACACTCTTTGTTTTATTTTTATATGTAGAGATATCTTTTATCGTTTACTGTGTTCATATCATTTTAATTTTGCTGCATGTATTGTATTTTTATGATTTTGTTACTTCACTGTTATTCGCATTTTTCATTTTATTGCACTTTCTTCCTAACTAAATGAATGAAATAACTGTATTTCAAAAGGAATTCAGATATTCTTTCTGAAAGTTATTTTAGATATAAATTTCGTAAGGAGGATTAAATTCCTTTGTAGGCAATACATGGTTCTAGACGAGCAATAAATTTCAGCCATAAAATTTACAATAATCTGTACGAACAGGGCGTAACAGAAAGAAATCGATCGGTCGCAATAAATTCAGTTAGATGTCATATCTTTGCTTATGCAGACACAGCCCATTTGCAAAGATTAACTTCTCGTATTCCGTTACTTTATTTTACTTTTTTATTATTTGCATGAAGCATAGAAATACTGAGACTTTTTTTTTATGATGAAAACATTTTCTAATAATCGAAGATAATCCATGGAAAATTGCTGCAGAATTAACCCTTTCCGGCACGCTACCTTATAAAGTTGGAGTTAAAAAAAGAAAGGCAGTCTAATTAGGCCTAGAGGAGTACACAAATAAAATTTTGTGAAGCTAACACTTATCGTTTTAATTCTGTGGGTGTGCTCAAAGTGGCACACTGATTGAATAGAGGTTCGAAAAGAGTGTTGAAACGAGCACTGTTGTCGATGAACTGACCGATGAGATGCGGAGAAACAAAGAATACAGACTCTCAGTTGTCCTAGATGATCAATGAGCCGGTCTGGGCACACCTAAGGTTCCGTTTGATTTTAGGCAAGATTTCAAGGTAAAAATTTATAACTAATATAGAATAAGGAGATTAGCATACAGCCAAAAAATAACATAGAAATTTCTTTCCAAACAATTCCTTTTACACCCTAAAAAAATCTGGAAGATTTCTTTGAAAATGAGGGTCTTAAAAATCTAAACATGGCTAAAATATATGGACTGGTTTGTGTTGAGCTGGCATCTACTATAAATGAAGAAGGCTCAGAGTAACCTATAGTAACGTATAAATCCTTTTTCATTCAATTTTTCTGTGCGTACAGAAGGAAATTTTTAGGTGTGTCCAAACCGGACACACTGTGCCGCAAAGGGATAAAGGCTATTTGCCTGAGAGAGAAGACGCATTCGTGAAAGACTTTATTAAGGCAAATAGCTTAGTTTAATTTACACATGAAGAAAGCCTCGAATAGACAACTGCAGCAAACCTGTACAACCGGGATTCGAGTTTTGGTGGATCTATTAGTGGTTTTTCAAAACCGCGTAAAAAAAAAAAAAAAAAAAAAAAAAAAAAATGTCTGAAAGCTTTTGTATTTTACATTACTCCCAAAGGGGTGTTTTTAAACGTTTTGTGGAAATATTATGTTTTTCGGACTTAAACCATAAAATCCAGTTCAACGCAAAATAATTTTAAAATGAGCCTATCTTTAGAATTTCCGATAGTCTCGCGCGCTGAAGATAAAAATGTTTTTTCCCCGCACAGTGTTGCCATCCTCGCTTTGAAATCGTTGAGTTTGTTAATAAAAAATTCGTTAAAGTTTTATAAAATAGGAAATAGATATTAAAGCAAATTTCAAATTTGGGCTTCCAGATGACCATATTCGGGTAGGAAACGTACGTTATTCCAAATTGGATGGCTTTAGGTGCCATTGTTTTATCACAATGCGAGAAACATATATACATTTATGCAGATTCTTCATTATTTAATCTCTTCAAATATAATACAGTTCTGTAATATTTGGTCGCAACAGTTTGAAAAGTGAACCAACATTTAAAGTTTTCAATTCAAAATGCCAAACCGAAATTAATAGCCCCTCTTGTGCTAACGCCCTTTGTGCTTAAAAATTTTCTATTACGCCCAAAGGTTTTTTTAAAAAACTTTTTGTTTGTTTTTTAAACTTTTTTTTAACCTTTATTTAAGCCATAAAATTCAATTCAACAGGAATATCCCGAAATAATTTTGTAGGGTTTATATTTATTTTAACTAACATTTATTTTAAGTTTAAACTATCTTTCCTGTCAAGCCTTACTTTCCCCTGGAACTGCCAATGCCAGAATATGTAAATTTGAGTAGAACGCGCAAGCATTCAAATTATCAGCGGAAGTAGTATGATTTAAATAGAAGGAAACGAGTTCGGTGAGAGAGTTATTCTTACTTAGCGAGCGCGGAGGTAGAAATCGAGAATTGAAGAACCCCGCGTTGCGGCCTATGTGCTTGGCGGGAAGTAGTTGCAATTGTTCCAGTGAGCTTCAAGTCTGCTGAATTAGCTGCGGCTTTTGTAAAACGCGGTGAGTTAGTTATTTTAGAGAGCCTCGTAGTTAGAATATTGTCTTCACTTTCTTTTCAGGTTCTTATTTTTATTTTGACTGCCGAGTTGGCACCGTTTGTAAGCGTCAAGAGAACGCAATTGTAATTCATTACGTTGAATAAAAAAGGGACTTAAACCCTTTACAAGACTCTGTGGTTTATACAAGCTTTCACAGTCACCTCTTGGTTGCGTGCTAGTTAGAGGCGCGCAACGTTATAATTTTAAAAGAGCATATGTCTGGAATTTTAGACACACAGTCTCGCGCGCTGGAGATTCCCCTTCCCCGTACAGCGCTGCTATTGCTCGCTTTAAAAGTTTTGAGTTTATTACTCAAAAATCATATAAGTTACAATATGAAATAGATTATATAAACTAAATACGAAATTCAGAATTCGGGCTTCCAGGTGCACATCTTCGTGCAGAGGTCAACGTTATTCAAAATTCGATGGCTCTAGGTACAGTTGTTTTTTCAGAAGGCGACCAACAGGCGTACATTCATGCAGATTCTTCATCATTTAATTTCTTTAAAATAATGCAGGGCCATAATATTTGGCGGCAACAATTTGAAAAGTTTTCAGATTTTATATTACGTCAAAAGGGGTGTTTTTTTAACGTTTTGTGTGTTTGTTACTTTTATTTATTAAATATCATGTTCTTTGCATTTAAAATTCAATTCAACAGCAATATCACAAAATATTTTAAAAGAGAACCTCTTTGGAATTTCCGATGCAATCTCGCGCGCTGGAGATAAAAATGTTCTCCCCCGTACGGTGTTGCCATTGCTGGTTTTGAAATCCTTGATTTGTTAATCAAAAATTCGTTAAAGTTTTACAAAATTTGAAATCGATAATAAAACATATTCGAAATTCAAAATTCCGGTATCCGAGTGGCCATGTTCGGTTGGAGGACAATGTTATTCAAAATTGGATGGCTCTAGGGATCGTTGTTTTTTCACAGTGCGATAAACATTCATGCATTTATACAGTTTCTTCATTATTCAATTTCTTTAAACAGAATACATGGAGATAACATTTTGTGGCAACAGTTTCAAAAGTGAACCAACGCAGAAAGTGGAATGATGCAAAATACCTTTTTGAGACTAGTAGCCCTTTTGGGTCTAACTCCCTCCCCTTTGAGCTAAAAAAAAAAAAAAAAAAAAAAAAAAAAAAAAAAAAAAAAAAAAACCTCGGCTCATATCATTCCTCGGCACCACCAACGGCCTACAGTCGCTGAACACTGGTGGTTTGGTCCAGGATTCGAATTCCGGCAAACGGATTGGCTGCACGGGCGCTTTCGTAGATTTGCGCGTTTGTAAAATGCATACGAGCCAGTTTCTCTTAGAAAGTCTTTCACTAAGACATCCTTTTCCTTGGGCAGATAGCCCTCAATTCCTTTAAGTAATGAATTATTATGCACGCGCACATTTTTTCGTGATAGAAAATAGTATTTAATCTTCACAGCTTTGACTAGTAGAAACGACTTAAAACGCCTCTAAGATTTAAGTCTATGACCACTATGGCGCTTAACTCATTAAAACAGTTTGTTTCTATACATTTTAACTGCGTGTTTATTTCAGATATGTATTTATTTATACGTTATTCATTTGTGCGTGTGGAGGACGAGTATGTATCTTTCTGCACTACGATTCCAAATCCTAAATTTAGCTACGTATTTTCATTTATCTACGCATCATCAGCGAAATGGTATAGTTATATTTGAAGAATAAACGTACGTCACATTAATGCTAATAAATATTCTTATATTTTTATGCTCAATTCCTAGCAAAAAATAAGGCACTTACTTAAAGTATTGCAAATTTTTCTCGTGTTATCTACAGTAGCGTATTCTTTCTTCAGCATTCGATCGGAGAAGTAACTCGAAAACCACATAGTTAACATTTGTAGAATATATGGAGCTGAAGAAATGAGTCCACTCTAAAGAAATTAACAAAAGTAAAAATAAATTTAGTATTATAGTATATTATTTTTAGTAATTATTTAGTATATTAAATTTGGTAAATTTTACTCTACTTTCTTTATATATATATCTAAAAAAAAAAAAAAAAAAAATCTGAAAGGTTTCAGATTTTAAATTACGTCCAAAGGTTTTTTTTTTTTTTTTTTTTTTTTTTCCGTTTTGTGTGTTACCTTTATTTATTAACTCTCATGTTCTTCGCCCTTAACCAATAAATTTCAGTTCAATAGCAAAGTCGCACAACAATTTTAAAATGAGCCTATCTTTAGAATTTCTGCTACACAGTTCCGCGCGCTGGAAATAAAAAGGTTCCCCCCCCCCTCCGTAGATTGTTGCCATTGCTCGCTTTCAAATCGTTGAGTTTATTACTCAAAAATTCGTTAAAGTTTTAAAAAATATGAAATCGATGATAAAACAAATTCCAAATTTCAAATTTGGGCTTTCACGTGCCCATATTCACAGTAGGATTACGTCATTCGAAATTCGATGGCTCTGTGTACCTTTGTTTTATCACAATGCGAGAAATATACATTTTATGCACATTTTCCATTATTTAATTTCTTCAAATATAATGCAGGATTCTAACATTCGGTGGCAACAGTTTGAAAAGTGAAACGGACATTTATAGTGATTCAACGCAAAATCGCAAAACGAAAATAATAGTCGTTCAGGGACTAATAATTATTAATTAAATTGAACTTTATGTTCCGCTCTTACAGACATTCTAACGCTTCTACGCCTTCATTACTATTTTCACCAAAAACATAAAAACTTATAAAGTATTTTTTCTCTCTTACAAGCATGCCTTCGTGGCGTAACGGTTAGCACACTCGGCGCGTATTCGGGAAGTTCAGGTTCGAGTCCCGGCGAAGGCACTGCTCCTTTTTAACATCTCCTGCTTCAAATAACCTAATGACTCTACAAACTAACAGTAAAAATACTCGCATTATAACGTTATTCTAACTAGATACTTGAAAATGCCACAAATTGGTATCCCTGTGATGCGAAATGGTGGAGTCCATTAAAAAAAGTCAAAATTAAACTTATTTTATGTAATGATTATTTAGGCTTTGAATAAGAGTCCGGTCGACCAACTTCGCTTAATGGAATCGTGCTAATTTAAAATGGTGGAAAAAGTAACATTAAATCACTGGATCCTGAATTTAAAAAAAAAAAAAAAAAAAAAAAAAAAAAAAGTAAAAAAATCTGAAATGTTTCAGATTTTAAATTACGTCCAAAGGGGCGTTTTTTTAACATTTTGTGTGTTACCTTTCTTTATTAAATATCATCATGTTCCTCGCACTTAAACCATAAGATCCAGTGCAACAGCAATATCGCAAAATAGTTTTTAAAACGAGCATATCTTTAGAATTTCCCCGATACAGAAAACTCACGCGCTGGAGATAAAAATGTTTTTTCTGCACAACGTTGCCATTGCTCGCTTTGAAATCCTTGAGTTTGTTAATCAAAAATTCGTCAAAGTTTTAAAAAATAGGAAATCGATCATAAAACAAATTTCAAATTTCAAATTTGGTCTTCCACATGCTCATATTCGTTGGAGGATTACGTTATTCAAAATTCGATGACTCTATGTACCGTTATTTTATGACAATGTGAGAAATATACATACATTTACGCAGATTTTCATTATTTAGTTTCTTCAAATATAATGCAGGACTCTAACATTTTATGGCAACAGTTTGAAAAGTGAACCGACATTTATGAGTCCGACGCAAAATGCCAAAACGAAACTAATAGTCCTTCGGGATTCAAATCCCTTTGGACTAAAAAGTATTTCGCAGTTTCATTTTTAGGAATAAATGTGTAGTTTACGACGAATTCCAGAATATTGCTTACAAAAACAGTGAACTGGGAAATAACTTTGCGCAGTTTGGTAGAAATGAATTGAAGAAATTCAACTTTGAAAAGCAACAGAAATAAGTTAAAAAGTATCGTTGACTTGCAGCTGAGGAAGACAGATAGACAAAGCAGACAGATGTATTGTTTTGCACCCGCTATATCTATCTGCATCGATTCAGTCCAGTTTTACCAAAGCTTTGCGGTTTGCTTGATCGAAAGAACGGAGGAAAACGTTTTTCCCACGGTCCCTACAGGAGCGGAGTGCATTCTGAACTGAACCATTATCTTCTTATCTTGGATATACTGGTTAAGAAATTTGATAATTAATTAGACGCAAGTGTTTTTTGGTAAATAGTTTCTTATCTGTTTGCCCCGAACAAGCTCTCTCAATTCACCCTAATCAAAAGTCTGCTGCCTTTTACACTTTCGTTCTTCGTATTGTTCCTTTGAGGTACAGAACTTAATATTCTGCAGGGCATTCTCTGAAATGTATTCCTTCGCGATTATTCTTCTGTCATCTACAACACTAGAATTTTCCATATCTTTGTCCTCTTCAAATTCAAGTTTTCAAGTTACAGTTATTCATTCCTATTTGATATACAAGTTCTGTCCCGAAAGTAATGCGCCCCATTTTCTTCCGCCGCAACTATGCGTCTCACAGCGCGGCCACTCGCGCGGAAGGGTGGATGGTGTCTTGAGAATATAGCGCGACCCAGCGCCAGTCTGCTCCGAGTTCCTGCAGAGTCACAGTGCTTGTTTCAGCGAACCCTTGTGTGAGTGCTCGGTACAAATCAAGATTGAAAAAACTCTCGAGCAACGATACGCGAAAAGCTTTGTTTCAAACTTGAGAAAACACCGTCGGAGACTTTTGCGTTGCTTCAGTCCAGATTTGTCCCGAAGATTAAAAAAAAATCCCTCAGAGGACAGCATTTGAGGACCCTGGAGAACATCAAGGCGCCTACGACGAGGTTACTAAAGGACATCCCAGTGACTGACTTCCAGGGCGCACGTAAAGCTTGAAAATCGCGTTGGAACAAGTGTGTTAAAGCAGGAGGGATGTATTTCGAAGAGCATTGAGTAATTGTACGAATTGGTTCAATAAATTTCTGAAAAACAAATGGAGCATTACTTTCTGGACAGACCTTGTACACTCCTAAACTCAATCCTTTCCTTTCTAAATGCTTCAAACACGTCTTCTTTATGCATACGATTCTCTGCACTTCGATACGACTTTCTGCACACACACCCAGGACATTAAACAGAAAAGGTTAAAAAAAAAACGGGGGGGGGGAAGGCGTCTTCTGTAGCACGCCATTTCAGTTTTAGGTTTTTATAGTTTCGATTAATTCACTCTTCAATTTGGATTTCTTAAAAATCTTCCAAAATTCACCTAGATAATAATATCATGTTGAAAATAAAGTGATCATGTGATCTCTGGCGATGGTGCGTTTGCATCCGTCCGATATCTTTTTCCCGGCAGGCCTTGCGATAAATGTTTATGTAAACAAATCTTTAGAATACGGAATGTAACGGATATTTTTTGCTTACTAAGTTAATTTCTTCTTTTTCTTGGATTACCTGATTAATTATACTTGAATTATATTTCAGTCTAATATGGATATGCATGAGATGTGTTCTGAATAAAAATAAGAAAAACTTGGACAACATGGTCTTTATGCGAGAATCACGTTTATTCTTTAGTGTGACATAATATTGTTTTTTTTTCCTATCATGAATAACACGGTTTCTATTCATTTTCTATTAGAAGCGTGGAGAAACCTGTTCCAAGCTCTGTACCTCTTCTTTCGATCAAGCACTTCATCTGTCAATGATATTTTCTTGTTTATTTGTGATATTCTCGTTTGTTAACTGTTAGTTTATAGAGTCATTAGGTTAATTGGAAGCAGAAAAGATGAAAATTATGCAACCGCCTTCGCCGGGAATCGAACCACGGACCTCTGGAATACCGGCCCAGCGTGCTACCGTTACACCACGAAAGCACGCGAGGGAAGTGGGTGAAATACCTTATAAGTTGTATAAGAGATTATTTGCTTGCTGTTTGTTTATGAGGCTACATAATGATAGCTGCTTGTGAACGTTGTCAACTCAGAACACCATTCAGTGCCTCAAATAAAATAGATACATATTGCTACGCTACATTATGCTAATCTACGTTATAAACATACGATACAGATTGAGTAGAAAATTAAATACAGATTGAAACGCAATAATTACACAAATACAGACTGAAAAATAATAATTTTTGCTTTCAAAAATCTTATTGGCTTATTTGTGTTAATCGTTACATCGAATTTATTAGTTTATTTATTATTAAACCGCACAAAGATATTTTGCGCTTAGTTAGTTTGTAGAGACATTAGGAATTTTCGGAAGCCATAGAGATGAAAAATATACAACCGCCTTCGCCGGGAATCGAACCACGGACCTCTGGAATACCGGCCCAGCGTGTTACCGTTACACCACGAAGGCACGCTGGAAAGCGGGAGAAATACCTTATAAGTTATGATTATATATCATATTATAACCACTACCCTGAGATTCATATTTACTTTTACCTTTAACTGTCGAAAATGACTTTTATGGGTTGCCCGAAAAAAGATGTTATCCAAAATTTTTCGTTGCAGTAAATAAGATCTTATCGTATGTGGATTAAATCAGAAATATTAAGCTTCTGGATTCGACGAATCGAACATTGTTGGAAAATTATAAACTAATTAATTGGGCAATTTTTTAAGTCTTGAGGGTCTTTCGTCAGCTATTCTGCAACAGTGTGAGATTACTGTAAGCGAGTCTGGAAACAATTCCATTTGATTTTAAACCGTGTGTAGGTTAACTTTAACATGTTGTTATTCGTTTTCTCAATCTTTAAGGTATGAATCTCTAAGGTATGTTATCGATAGATTAGGAAATTAATTGGAAGTTGAGTCTATTAAAATGCATACAAATTAGAAATTAGTAAAAAAAAAAGAAAAGGAAAAATGAAAAAAATAAATAAACAAAAAATAAAAAAATCTCACGTGTACACCACATGACTTCCTTGTTCGGAATATTAAATTCTACCCATATTTTGCTGCATTTCACTTAAACTTATTTTCTCGAATTTCATTAGACATATATTTCTTATTAAATTATTCAGTTCTCACTTCGCGGCAAGGCAAAAATATATAAAACCTCAAAATATCTTGATTTAGAATTGAAAGACAGAAAAAATAAAACCCCAAATACAGTTAAAACAGTTTTAAAAAACTATTTTTACAATTAAAATTACAGTTTCTACGCAAAAACGAGCAATTCAGCCAGCCGACTAGAAGGCAGATTTTTCGGGGCACAAAACTGTACTTTTGGTGGCATTCCGTTAAAAAGACACTTAAGATTCAGAAACTGACTTATGCCACTATTCTGCTAAGTTTCGAATGTAAGCAAATATGGTTGCTATAGTAAAAAATTTAGGCTTAGCCGCACTTAAACAACTTTTAAATTCTTGATAATTCTACAACTATTGCTTTCAGATTAACTAAAAGCATAAAAACCTTAACTGGAAGATGAGAACCACATAATTCAATCATTTTTAAAGCAAAAAAATGCCCAATTACCAACATATAAGCATAAAAAAACTGAGCACACGGAGCCGAGTAACAGAGTAAGTATATATGTATATATACATATTTATAGACTTTTAGTGCAGCTGATTGTAACCAAAAAGGGCGGTGCACGACTACATCTTATAGCAGTCCTATACACAAAATTCCAACGTTTTGAGGTACTGGTTTTTTAGTTATGTGAGATACATACAGATGTATGTACATAGGTGCAAACGCCACAAAAAATCTCTTCTGCATCCATTTTAAATCAGTTTTATAATTCGTTTGGGGGAAAAGAATCCTTTATTGTGTCCTTAAACACAGATGCCACGCAGAAACATCGTTAAATTGCATTCTATAACGGTCAAAATCGATATTTCCGTTGAAATATGAAACCCGAAAATTTTCTCAATTCCTTTCGTATAAGAAAGTAACAAAAGAATAATTGCAATATCATTATGACATTTTTTATTCGAGCAATATTGTTTAGTAACAAGAAAAACATTTTAAAGCTTTGTAAACAGTAAAAAATAGCTGAATTCTGCTAATAAAAGCTGTTTTATACAATGAATTTCCTGGGTTCCACTATACTGTAAACATCAAACATTATAAACATGAAACTCGAAAAAGAAATCTATTTTGAATTAACCAAAATTAAAACAAAGCATTTTCGGTAAACTCTCAGCTAGACATGGGCTACATTATGAGATTTACATAAAAAGATGTAGAATACATTAGTGTCAGTTTTGCAAAATGAAACTCTGCAATGTCAAAAACAAACGAGCGCCAAACGATTTGGCCAGAGAGGATTTTACTTTGTTCTGAGGCCAGAAGTTTTAAAAAGATTTTGTGCTAACGTTGCGCCTGTACTTCATTCTTTTTCAGCTGTTACCTTTAATGGAATATACTGATAATATTGCCTAATAGGTAAGTCTGAAGATATTTAAAAATTATAAATGAGTATCACGTAAGTTCTTTATTTTAACACTATTTAAATATTTGTAAAGACTATTAACTTTGATTTGTATTCTATTTGTGTTTTATCATAGTTAAGCAAACTATCTAATTTATTAAATACAGATTTCATAGTTATTCTAACTTACGATTCTTTAATAAAACTGTGCTAAATACAGATGTACTAAAATGACTTAACTGTGTTAAATGCTAGAAATATCAGGAATCAATAAGATGTACAAGATATTTATTTCGTATATGTTTTTCTCTTTTTACCGCATGGAAAATGATATAAATTATTCTTATCACGAAAAATAACAAATATGCAATGAGTACAAGATAAAATTTAATAAAATTATAAAAAAGAGAGGAAAAAACTTTCAAGCAGTTTATAATAAAAATACTGCAAATAAATAAACAAGAATAAGATACCGTTATCGGAGTGGAAGTAAAAATGAAAAAAACAGAATTCAGTTTTTACGTATCATATTTTAAATGCAAAAATGATGAAATGAGCTATTTTTTTCAATGAAATAAATACGTGGCGAGTGAGATCAGAATATTACAAAGCTGAATTACATGATGTGGTTAAAATTCCATAATCGGGGTGAACGCCAAGCTTGGCGAGAAGTTTTTATTTGGCGCGATTTTGATTTGGTTGTGGTTTCCGGCTGTATGTTTTCTTATGGCAAACCTAGAGCTTTATTTCGGTAACTGTAAGAGCCTGAATTTAGTGTAGCCAGATTTTTTTTTTTTAAATTTAATTTTGAAATACTATGTTTGTTTTTAAAAGTTTTACTGTTTAATATTATTGTTATATATATGTTTAATATTATATTTATATAAATATTTGCAGAAGGTTAAGCTGTGTTGGTGGGAGAATGTTGGATTTTTTATGACGTGAAGTTTATAATTTATGAATGTTTTCATTTAATTTTTAAGTTTTGTTTCTTGCATGTGGCAATCGAAAGATGTGGAATATTTAAAGTTTTGAACGAAAGTTGTTTAGTATGTTGAATTCCACGACGATAGTAACTTGAATATTTTAGTTAGTTTATGATGCTGAATACACATAATTTGCTATTTTGTTTACGTTTAAAACTCACTTCTGATCTGATAAGTGTATATATTTATTTACTTAATAATTATTTACAAGAATTGTTCATTCTACTATTTTATGATGAATTACGTATATAGGACTATGTTTTTACTTGCAAAGCTGTTGGACTTTGTTTTACTCATCTAGTATTTTATCATCTCATTTTACTATTCTGTTTACATAAAATAACGACGTTTCACTACTGCAAAACTTAAAAGTTAGTATTCTGTTTACGTTTAAAAATCACAATTTGGTGCTTTCATTGCCGCCTAAAAAATTCGCCAAATTTTGAAGGCCGAAATAGTTTGGCGCCAACTTACACCTTTTATGGAATTTTAGCCCATGATGTTATGAGCAAAAGCCTTTATGTGGTTTAATAATTAGTAAACGAAAAAATTCAATGTAATAATGAACACAAATAAACCAAATAAGATTTTCGAAATCCGGAATTATTGATTCTCAGTTCTGTATTTGTGCAATTATTGTATCTCATTCTGTATTTCTTTGGAGCTTTCGAAATTTTCTCTATAGACGCTTCGTGAATAACTCTACCTATAAAAACTTCTTTTAGAACTTAGAACTGTAACTAAATCGTATCTCATTACCTGAGTAACACTGAAATTAAGAACTGTTGCCAGATAATTCGGATAAACAGATATGAAATAAAAGGTCATCCAGTACTGTCCAAACATGCCCGCTAGAAGTGCCCAGGTAGAAACGCTAGAAAACATTCGACCCCAAGGAATGTCCATCTTCTGAAAGAAAAATAAAGGGAAGATTTATGCAACAATTTATTTCAAGAATATTTAAACACACGCTCTACACTTAATGGTTTTAGTTCTGGTACCTTGGATAGAGAAAAGTACTGGGAAGGAAAAGTCTAATACGTCAGTGCTAGAAACCAGACGTGTAAACGGAAATAAATAAATTAATAAATTAATGACAGTATTACTTCCCATTACTATACAGTTGTGAAAATACGAGTAAAAGTCAACTGAGCAAATTCTTTTTCATTTCAGTGACCTTGAAATTTAATCACCTGTAAAGATTATGTTTAAAGATTATGTTAATTTTACTAACAGTTAAATTTTGAGTTAAAGTTCCTTTCCTGTCTTCCTGAATTTCAACTTGCAACTTCCGGCCAGAACGTAGTTTTAGAAACGCATTTGAATGCAAATTGAGGAGAAGTATTTAACCGCGAAGTTCTACCGTCTTAGTTAGAGAGAACCAGTGTTTCAGGCTAGCACGCGTCCGCCTTTTTTTAAGCTACTCTCTCTTAAACTATTATTACGCTCGTCCGTGCTTTAGGCACTTGATAGCTTCGCCGTTATTCAGCTTTAAGGGACCAACTCGGTAAGAATTTTGACAGCTTCGGCTATATCTAAGTTAAGATTAGTTAAGTTAATTTCTTAGTTTTTGGGTTCAAGCCCGAATGGCGACATTGTTATAAAACTCCAAGACGGAGTTCTGTTAAACTTTATTGGAATGATAAAGGGTCTTTAACCCTTTTCAAGTTTTATTTACTGTCTCACGAACTCAAGCGATTAGTCGCTTAACAGTTCTTAAGATTCTTCAACTTTAACTGTAACTTAAAAGTACACAGTACAGAATCTTACACACCTTTTTATTTTTATGCAAGGCTACTTCTGAAAAATGTTATATGTTAAGTCACATGGTAAACTAGATATATGTTAATAATATTTGAATCATTTTATATACAAACATGGACAAATTATTAGATTCAAGAAATCTAACAAGTTCAGTAAAATTAATTTAAAAATTAAAGTTATTGTTGTTATTTAAATATGAATTAATATTTGTTAATTTTTTTAATTTAAAATTGCCAGCATCAACATAACATTCACATTTCATAATATTCGGTTTTAAAGAATGTTTTCCGCCACACTGCAAATATCGTTTGCGCAAACAGTTCGCATTGAACGTGATTAATTATATCTTGTCAAACGATTTTTGGCATTTGAAAGAAAGAGACTTACTTAGAACACTATGTTGTTAATTTTGTAAAAAAATATCGTTAGGTATAGGGTGACTGAAATGGAACTATCACGCTACCAGATTTGAACCACCATTTACTTTCAGTTCTGTTGCGGTGTGGTGTTGTGGTGTATTTAATTATGGCAAAGCTCACAGCTCACTAGGGCTATCTGCCTAAAGGGAGGGATGCCTTCGTGGAGAACTTTCTAAGGGAAACTGGCTCGTATACACGTTACACATGGGGAAAACCACGAAAACACCCATGCAGCCAGCCCGTTCGCGGGATTCGAACCTCGGACCGAACTACCAGTGTTCAGCGACTTTACCGCTCGGCCGCTGGTGGGCCTTTCAGTTCTGTTGCAAAATGTCAGCTACAGAATGTCACCAAATAATGTCTACAGTTTAGGTACTAATGCTGTATCATATGACACTCTGAAGGTTTGATACCGAAAGTTCAAAAACAAGAACTGTGACATTCAAGAAGCAGAGCGCTGTGGCCGGCCTACTGATGCTGATGAGGCCCGCCTGCGAGAATTTAGGGAAGAAGATCAGTATGCAACCACTCGAGAGCTTGCTAAGGAGTTAGACGTTAGTGCCCTGTCTGTTAGTCGCACTATGCATCGCACAAACTGCACGTATGAGTTCAATCGATGGGTGCCGCATGAACTGACTCAGCATGAGCAGATAAGAACAGACGTGTTCACTCCTGCACCAATCTGCTCGAATATCAGTGCAAGGGCAAAATTCTAGACCGGATCGTCACTTGTGATGAAAAGTGGATTTACTTCAACAGCACAAGCCGGAAAGGGGGTTGGTCTGCGCAAGGTAAGTCTGCAGCTTCGCAAAGCGCAATTTAACTAACAAAAAGATTTAGTGTCTGGTGGGATTGCCGTGGTATTTTCCAGAAAGACTATCTAGAAATAGGTAAAACTCCGACAGTAAGGTGTACAACGAGATGCTGGTCTGTGTTGACACTGCTATCAAGGAAAAACATCGAACTGAGTTCCAGCGTAAAAGGTATACTGCTTTCATTTTTTTTTTCCCTAAATTTATTAAGAACGTTTTTTGGCAGAAAACTTTCGTTACAGTCGAATATTTGAAAACATCACTATTATTCTTTGAGATAATAACATTTTAGATTCTACTTTCCTCGCTTTTTACAATTTTTATCTACTTTTATTGTCTTAAACATACTTACCCTATTTTCTTACATATTTTCATTTTAATCCAAAAAGATTTATTTTCTCGCAGAACTATACTTGATATAATTCAAATTACTGTCATCGTAAGGAATTAACAAGCTCGTAAGTCCATGCCGGGTAAATAATTATCATGTCCATCTAGCCCCTGGAAGATTCTATGGGTCAAATACAGGGATAGGCATAATTAAATTTTCAAGTGTGATTTGGCCTGATTAGATTATGTCAAAGCGCACTCTGTGCCATATATCAAAAGGGAGGAGACACTTTCTAAAGAACACTGACAGTACCTACGCTATACATGAGGAAAACCATGACTTGCAAAAAATTTATTGCTGAGATTTGAACTCGTAAATTTAAGTGTGTTCTTCCACGAGATACCTAATAGTCTTAGTCTAAACACCAAGGGATTCGAAACTAAAACGGCGTTTGAATTCACTTCATTCATTACCGTCTTTATAGAGGTCATTGAAATAAAATGTTGTGTACTATACTTTATTCCCTTCTTCGTGCACCCCTCTTCCCAATTTAGATTTAAATGAGGGAGAAAACAAAGAAATAAACTCCCCTCCCCATGTGTACTCTCGTGATACAAGTCTAACTAGTTTATTAGAGCTATGGTTTGAATCCTGGCGACAACATAGTTGATTTTACCTGTTTCTTTCTTCGAAAAAACTAATGGCCTTTGCATCATAAACAAAATCAAGTATAATCAGACAGAAATTCCTAAAACATTCAGTATTGATCTGAAACATACTTGCCTTATTCGTAAAAGAAATATCATCTGAAATAGTGAGGAAAAATTTATTTATATAAAATTGGGTTAAAATTTGAAAGCTCAAAATAAGCTTAAGCATGGAATATTACCTAATAAAGAGAAATTAGTCAAACTTTCAACAATATTGTTGCGTAAAATAAGCTTAAGCATGAAATATGACCTAATAAAGAGAAATTAGTCAAACTTTCAACAATATTGTTGCGTGCGTACGGGTTCATAGTAGACTGAATGCACAAGTCCGATAATAGTTTAATAAAATTTATTCTTATCGAAAGAAATATGTCAGAAAGCTGGAATTTTCCTCAGAGATATTCATGCAAGTGTTAACAATATCAGGTAGTATAATTAGTAGTTATACTTCCAACTACTGAAAACGTTAAAATACAAAGCAATGTCAAGCGTTTCTAAAGAGAAAGTTAGATCTTATAGCTCAGTTCACGCGGAACTAAACTACTCGCAACAACAATAACTAAACAACTGAACTGAGGTGCTCTTTCTACGGCCTTTCACAGATTTCAGACTGCCGCGAGAAATTTCTAGTACTTTCTGCTTCTCGAGATATTGAAAAGCAATACGAGGATGGAATTACGGTTACAACTAACATGGTGGTCAATTCCATTTAATCAATTTCAATGCAAATTACTGAGATACCCATTTACTCAATATTAAGTGCACGTACCTCTGTATCTTTACTTTTTTGGCATAGCTTTTTTTTTTTTTTTAAATTTGTCTCGCACTGCATTGCACGGGAAAATACAACAATTTTAATTATAATTGTACTAAAATTAACTACCAAAATGTAAAATTTGTAGCACTATTTTGTTAAACTTGAATTACTATTACTAAATTTCGTTTTCTTACCTTTATGTTTATTAATTAAAGTTATGTTTCTTAAACACATTTTCTTGGCAAAAATTGGAGTAATGTGATTAAATAATTATCTCTGGGTGAGTTTTAGATGAATTACTGCTCTGTTAAGGAAAACCATCCAAAAGATATGTATAAACATAATATAAAACTTTCAACATTAATAATGGTCTGGAGGGGAGTTTTATAGCCCTCTGCTTCTTTGTAGAATAACTCTATTTTGGGAAAAAAAAAAAAAAAAAAACTCACATTTTCCTTATTGTTACTTTCTTGATGACTAAGAATGTATTTGTATTCTGCTTCAGTGATATTGGCGTCTTCTTCTGGTGCATTGAAGATCAAAAGTTGAAGAAGTACAGCCACAATTAAACCCCATGCGCCTACAAAAAATGTGCAAAATATTACAAGCAGAAAGGATTGTAACAAGTTACTTTGTAGCAAAATATTTTAGCGAGTTGTTGACTTTCATTGTATCGGAAAATTCTTGAATGGATAGAAATATTTCAAAGTCATTCAAGAATCTCTATTAATATTCTTAAGATACTGTACAGAAAGTCTGCGATTTATAACTAAAGGTATATTGATATCTTTTTTTATTGTTATTATTATTATCTGTGCGAAGAAACAGGAAACTCGCGACACATTTTCAATCTAAAATTGCTAGAACATAAATACCGTCGTGCTTTAAATATGAGTAATCGTGTGATTTATATAAATGATATAAAGATAAGGCTTTTTATGAAATGCACTCTTTAAGTTTTTGATGTATGTTTCATATTCATATATATTGATTCAAATATATTGAGACAGATTCTCTAATAAGGTTATTTCTCCCGCCTTCTTTACATGTCTTCGTGGTTTAATGGTTAGCACACTCGGCGCGTGTTCGAGAGGTCCAAGGATCGAATTCCAAAGAGGGCATTGCTCATTTTTCATGTCTCCTGCTTCGAAATAACCTAATGTCTCTACACTCTTATTCAGAATCAGGTGATTTTACGGATCCCGCCTTTTTACTTCTTCAAAGTTCAGTCCTGCACTGAATTGTATTCTTCATAACGATTCAAGTCCGTTCGCCGGGATTCGAACTATTAACGTTCAGCGACTTTACCGCTCGGCAGCTGGTGGGCCTTCATAACGATTCAAAAGCAAGAATTAGACCGTTTTATGAAATCGTCTTTCGAACTGCTGGCGTGGCGCTTTTAAACTCTCCTTTTGAAGTGAACCTCTTCTCACATAATTACACACCATTCAATATTCAATTTTCAAACTGTCCTGAAACCACATAGACTAGGTTGATGACAGAGTATTTTTCATATGGTTTGACCAATGCCACATCAGCAATATACAGACGCAGCAGACGACATAGATCTCCGGCCCAGGTCCAACTTGCGGACGCATACAGAGTTTAGATATCTATGGTCCAGGGACCTCATCTATCATATCTTTCTTCATCTTATTTACCGTTTATTAAGTAATATTTCACATGGATATTTTTGCGGAGTATCCAAAATCTGTTTTTACTTATTTTAAATACTTTCAACCAGGTAGTGAAATCTTCATATTTGCTTATAGTTGATCTAACTTTGCAATGACAATTTTCAGAAGAAATTGACGATACTTTAATTATTTTGTACAGAAAATTGCGTGGCAAAATATTTCAAACCATTTTGCTTAAATCTTAAAGCACACGAAAGATCATGTGACATGACGGAAATATTACTGGATGCCCATTGGTCCATCCTAGAAGCCACACCCTCGGTGGCTACACAGATGTGCACTTGTGAAATATGCTTCCGTCGAGGGCTTTGCTCATTTTTCACATCTCCTACTTCAAATTAACCTAATTTCTCTACGACATTAACATGTTTATTCAAACGTATGACATTATGACATAATGATTTGAGGGAAAAAAAACTAACATACCAAAAACATAGAATACCGAAGGCCATCCTCCTAGAAGGCTGGAATCACATAAGGCACCAGATACAATCCCTCCAATAAAAGCTCCAGCCGGATATCCAGAAAAGGAAAGGGAACTCAAGAATCCTCTCTCTAACTTAGGATACCATTTTGCCATTAAGCAACTGACAGCTGGACTTACTAAACCCTGCAAAAGTAACACATATTCAGAGTACAATCGGGCAACCCGAGTATTATTCTGGATAATTTTACCAATTGGTTTCAGAAACACAACATAATTCCAGCAATGAGTTAGCTTGAAATTAAAGTGAGTCATGCTGAAACGTGTGTGATCATTTTAAGATAAAAATGCGTCACTTTTCTGCATGTTAATTATTTTATCTTTCATTAAGCGAAATCCTAACATATTATTTCACTACATGTTATTCCATTTTCTATGAAATACAGTGTGAAACAGAAAAAGGGGAACTTTTGAAATGCGCAGTTTTACGTAGCAACTGCTACGTACGTTTGGCAGCGGAACAGGAACCTTGTGCTGTAAACAATCTTGCCGTAATCATGGATCAGTGGAAAGGTCAACAGCGTGCTTTCGGCATAAAAATGTCTTACAAAGGCATTGATAGTTTGCAAGGTGCGCAAAGGGAGTTCCTTTTTCTTCCAGCTTAGGGTATCACGGTCCGCTTTCCTTGAAACACTTGGATAAACGGAACTTTGGAAAGACGGGATCTGTTCCGAAAAAGAAATCGAAAGGACGACCGAGAAGTTCTTGTAAGATCACCAGCTTTGTCCGTTGGTGATTTTTTCTTGTGGGGCAACCTTTAAAGTCGGGTTTACACCACTCGGCCAGTGACAATTGATGAAATAAAACGAAGAATTCAAGATGAACTTCGTGCCATCCCACCTGAGATTTTGCAGCGATCAATGGGAACCTTAAACAAAATATGAGTAAATCTCTAATAAATCAGACTGGATCGCAGTTAAAGTAATAAACAGAGGAGCGTTCTTCCAGACAACATTTATTCACGAACACCAAAGATGAACTGATACATATACATAATTGACATCACAGTTTCTTTTTACAAACAAACACTACCGCCATCTGTTGGCGATCTATGGATACACAATCCTAAACTTAACAAACCTCAATAGCAGCTTGGTAGAATGCATACCCACGACAGAATGCCATCTACAGAACGTAATTTTCAGACACTGATAATTTCGATTATTGTCTCTTAAAAGACAAGTTATAGTGTTTCCATTGCTGTCAATAAAAGTGTTTGTTGGATTTTTCTATTTTTATTGGGTTATTCAAAAGTTCCCGTTGTTCTCCATCACCCTGTATTATATCAGCATTGTTGTTGCGTTGCTATTGTTGCTAATGCTCACTTGTCTGACCTATAGTCAGACCAAGCTCGTAAGTTGGTATCGTAAGATCATATAACTATTTTATGGAAGCTTTTGTGAAATCTATAGAATTTACAAGGCTAACTTACTTGTGCCAAACCTTTCACAAATTGTGCGCTCATGAGTACGTAGACATTCCACGCAGCTGCGCAAGGAGATATTAGATTACACAAGGAAGCGCAGATGACACTGAAGACAAGAATTTGCTTCGCTCCCAGCGTTTCAGAAAGCCTTCCACCGGGAGTTTGGGTTAGCACGAATCCCAAGAAACTGGCGCTGACTGTGTATCCTTGGACCTCAGAATCCCAATCGAATTCGCCTCCTAGCTAAGACGAAGAGAGAAACCTTGACAAAGCAAAAATGTTGGTAATAATATTTAGTTACATTCCTCTTTCATTATGTAACTGACGCTAAATATGGTAGCAAGTATAGTGTGGCCTAGTAGCAACTGTAGTGTGGATAATAGCAATTGCAGTTTATGCTTATTTCCAAGAAACCAGTTTTTGTGTATCGAAAAAAAGATAAAGTAAATATGTGATGGATCATTATACTGAATTTAGGTGTCTAACGAATGAAGCTTTCGTATAAGGTAAAACAGTTATGATTCTTGAGCCAAAAATCATGAAGTTTTACTTTTTCTAATTTCAGACGAACTTTATCTGCCGTGTTATTTCAACCTGAAAGAGTTAATGGTCTTTAATTGTATTACCTCACCTTCGCAATCAGTTATCCCCATGCGGAAGGGAAGTAGTTATAAATTTTTCTGTTTTGTTACCCGTTCTGTTATACTAAAATAAATTCTGTCTTACTGTGAGACAGAACTCCCAATTAATACTTTTTCGTTTTCTTACGTTTGCAACCAATATTAATTGTTTAGTTTTCGTATCCCATATCGCATGTAAGTTGTACCACTCACATTTATTTTATGCTGCTACAAGCTGTTATATTTATATCCTTCGTTAAATATTTCCTTTTTCAAAATATATGCCTTCATTTTTTAAAGGATATAAAGTTTTGGATAAATCAGATCCAATATAGAGAACTTAGGAACTCATTAAATACCTTCGAAAAGTTTTATCTTTTAATATTATTTTTTTAATACTTTTAAATTTTAAAATTATTTATTTCCCCAAATGGCGTTAGCCGAGAAGGGTTATTGACTTCGTTTTGGCATTTTGTGGCGTTCACTTTTCAAATTGTTGCCACCAAATATTAGAGCCCTGTATTGTATTTAAAGAAATTAAATAATGAAGAATCTGCATGAATGTTTGTATGTTTCTCACAGTGTGAAAAAACAACGGTACCTAGACCCATCAAATTTTGAATAACGTAGTCCTCCACTTAAATATGGTCAAGCTCGAATTTGGAATTTGTTGTATTATTTAGTTCATATTCTGTAAAACTTTAACAAATTTTTGATTAACAAACTCCACGATTTCAAAGCGAGCAATGGTAATATTGTAGGGGCGGAAAAAAATTTTTTTTTTATCTCCAGCTCGCGAGACTGTGTATCGTAATTCTAAAGAATGTGAATTCTAAAGATATGCTCTTTTTAAATATTTTGTGATATTCCTGTTGAAGCCTCCCGAACGGTATATTTGTTAGGGTCGCCTGACTGCGATACCAAAAATCCTGGTTCGAATCCCGGGCAAGGGATGGATGTAAAATTGTCTGTCCCTTCATAGGATTAGTAATGGTGGCCGCATATTAGGTGCCTCTATAAAAAAATGGCCACCACTTCTGGCCTTAAGTAATGACCAATGCCGTTATAGGCAAGTGCCCGCCATTTGTTGAATTGAATTTTATCGTTTAAGTGCGAAGAACATGATATTTAATAAATAAAGATAACACAGAAAATTTTAAAAAACGCTCCTTTGGACGTAATATAAAATCCGAAAGCTTTCGGATTCCTTTTTTATTTTTGTTCACTTTATTATTATTATACTAATATAGTAAACACATTCGATTTACATAACTGAAAATAAGACAGAGGCATTGAAAACATTTTTCTTGGAACGGTTAGTGTTAAGTGCGATTACAAGAATCAATAAAAATCATTTTTTTAATCATTACTTTCTTCAGCTAACTTTTAAATTTTAGATAATCTCACATAATCTCTCATATAAATATGACATGAAGCATAATCTATTTTGTGGAATTTCGGATAAATCTTACAGATGTGATTGAACTAAATTCACTTTTATATAACGTACGATTTATGTCACAAATTATTTTTATCTTTACAGTAGATCTTAAAAAGTTTTTCTGGAATATTCTGACTAATTACATGAATCTACGGTTTTTCTACATTGACGGAGTAAGCGGAAATCATTTTTAATTGGAAAACAGAGGTGCATTTGTTGTTTTATTGCTCATAAAGCGATAACAATAAATTTACTAAATATCATATTAACTTTTAGTTAATTTAATTAATTAAATTTAGTTTAATTTATATTCTATGGTTAAATTAAAGAAAGGCAGACATTTGTTAGCTAATGCTCGATTTATCATCTGATATTTATTGATCTATGAAAAATTTTTAAAATAAATGTCTTTTTTGTCTTTAAATTCTATAATATTAAGATAAACTTTGCGAATTTTGGCGACATGTTATCTTTCTCATTAGTTATTAGAAATAAATATTCTGCGATTTATTATAAAGCTATTTTCCAGAATCCGAACTAAAATTCTTAACAAAAGAAAAGTTTAACACTCCACCACCCCCCATCTAGAGGGGGGAATATGAAAATTTTCAAAACAAGCATTATTCTGAGATGGTTATAGCATATATTACAGAAAATATTTTTTTAAAAAAGAAAAAAATAGACTAAACTTTTATATTTTGTACAAAATTTTGTACAAACTGAATATTTCATGATTTAAAAAAGCGATTTTCACTATTTATGAAAAATAAATCAACGTACTGATATAGGTTCCGAAGTGTCATTTTCTATCCAAAGGGTAGGGCACTCAGATCGGTTCATCATTTCCTTTAGGGTCAGATTCGTCGATGAAGAGTTAACCATTGCCACCAAAGCTATACTTAGGTTGAGCCTTTGCATATTCAAGACCATAAAGCTGAAGAAACATAACACTGCAACGATATAACGTCTTGGAATGATACTTCTGGAAGCTACAAAAATAAAGTGAAGGCTTGTTGTTAATTCTCATGTAACTCAATTTGATCGAAATTAGAAATATACTATATTATAGAGACGGAGATGAAACAAAATAGCCTGTCTATTAACGTTCGGGCGTATTAGGCGAGTATGATTCATCAGCTTCTGGTAGTCAACAAAATAATGCATATCTGCATAGTTTATGAACAGCCCAATGATAAACTATTGTCCATACAGAAAATAGGGGTTTATTGTATATCTTACATGAAATATTTACAGCACAAAATTCTTGCTGATATTGTTACATAATCCTCACAAAAACTGTATTCACCTTGAACCAAAATACGGAGAAAATGACTGTCTACCTAGGATTTCGAACGAACTATAAGATATTTCTCCCGCCTTCCTAGCATGCCTCCGTGGTGTAGTGGTCAGTACGCTCGGAGATTATTGAGAAGTCTGTGGTTCGAGTCCCGGCGAGGGCTTTGCTCATTTTTCACTCTCCTGCTTCGAAATAACCTAATGTCTCTACAGTGGCGACCGAACTAAAAACGGTGGTGAATGATGATTCTCCACCACCAGGATTTATCGATTGGGTCCCCTAATCGCCAGTCGCCCTTTAAAAGGAGGTTTTTCTCCCGCCTTCTTAACATGCCTTAGTGGTGTAGTGGGCAGCACGCTCAACGCGTATCGAGAGGTCTGTGGTTCGAGTCTCGGCTAGGGCACTGCTCTTTTTTCATCTCTCCTTCTTTCAAAAAATGTTTACCTCATGTCTCTACGGAACTACAGCCATCCTGTTAGATTAAGCTTCTATACTCTGCGTAAAGTGCAAAGAGTGGAGTACTTCAGCCATTACTGTATAATGGAAGGAAGCCATGATTAAATTTCGAGGTGGTTTGAGGTACCCAACATGTAGAACTCAGTGCACAAAGCTGGCTGCCACCTCTGGCATCAACAACTGTTGTAATAAGGCTGGCTCTCGATGCTTGGATGATATATATTGATACTTCATTCCCTGTGACTTCAGCTGTACGCCTGAATCCATCAATCATAGTGGATGGTGAATGTCAATCTCTCCAGATCCATGTCTAGATATTCTCAAGGACTGAAGTATTTGAAAAACGTACCGGCCAGTCTAGCCTACGTATCATAGAAGGTAAGGAGAGCACAAGCAACATGCCGTCGTTCATTATCACGTTGAAAAATAGCATCATGCAGGACTCGAAGATTTAGGAAGTAGCAACGGACCTAAATACATCGGAAGTGTAAAAGCGGCTGTCCACATAACCGGCTGTGTGAACTAAAGGTAGCTAGCCTACGTATCGTAGAAGGTAAGGACAGCACGGGCAACATCGCTGCCCAGTAGAACGGTGTTTAGGACACCAAGGTGTCTAGGCCGAAGGCCGTACCCCTTGTAGAACATTTGGTAGCTTCGAATGATGTGATGAAGTAACCAGAAATATCCTAGAACAAATGGGAAAACAACAAAATCATAATGAACAAGTCAACATTAGATACATAAATATTGGTTCTGGAAAGCTGTAAGATAAAGGTAGCATAATAGATGTTCGATTGCTACTAGCGGTAAAAGCCGTCGAGCTGGTGCGAACAAAGTCCTGTGCATAGTCGAAAAAGTCCTTTCGCGAGATACTAACTGTTCATTCGTCGGAGCCAGTCACGTGGGAGGTCACCCTCCCAGAAACTGACCCCGATGGATGCTGCTTAAAATCCAGAAAACTGGAACTTAGAATATGTGTAGAAAAGCGACGAAAAATGTTAGTAACACTTAAAATTACACACGAGCAACATGCCGCCGTTCATTATCTCGTTCAAAAATAGCGCCATGCAGGACTCGAAGACTTCTGTGTATTCCGACGATTTGGCCTGTTCCTCCTATCTTTTTCAGTTCCTGGCCCAAAGCATCTTCGGTACAAATTTTGCGAAGCTAATTGTTCCCATGACGACAGTAGTGTACGACATCAGAAGTTCTTTTCCATCAACTATAAATAAATAAATCTTTGAAAGGGAGACGAGAATTCTCGAGCCATGCCCTTCCTGATTCCAGTTTCTTTCTTGCACTTGCGACATCGCCATCTTACCCTATTTTCCTCAATAGATAAAATCATATTATGCAGATTGGAACATTTTCGTTCTGAAAGGACAATTCCGCATAGTTGCAAATGCTCTATAGAATCTGCTTCGTTATTTGGGAGATCGAAAAGAAGCATCGTTACAACGAGGAACTTCAAAAGCCAACTATAAGAAAGATGGCCGCTACAAAATAATGGATTACGAAGTGTATCGATTATTATTATCGATGGTACTGTCACAAAATAATGAGTTAAGATGTTTATCGATTATTTACGAATTTTTTTCGCTTCTCCGCAAGAAACATGCTGTTTCTTTAGGATGTTTGTTAAGACTGCGGGGGTATAATGGAAAAGTACTGACAATTCTTACTCTTTCCTTATCAGCTACAGTTTAAATCTTCAGCTACTCACTCTGTTATATCACTAAGTTCAAAACAGTTATATTTACGACTCTTTTAAAGCCTGTTCATTTCATTTATATATTTTTTTCTCCAAATAAGTGAAAATAACAAGAGAAAGAGAAAGAAATTAAAAACAGAAAATTATTAACAAAATAAAATAATTGCCTTATTGCGCATTGTCTTTTTACAAATTTATTGTCTTTATTTATTGGCTTTTTACGAAATTTTAAACCATATTAAAATGTCTGTGCCTTCAAAATAAAACATTCTTAGAACTGCTGTGGCTAGCAAAGTCTGTTGGCGCCAGTATGCTGTCGCCAACAAAGTCTGCTTGGCGAGATTTACGCCGGCGAAACGGAAAAGTACCGATTTTTCGAAATTTTTGTGAATAAGAAACAGTAAAGGTTTACAATTACATGCCCCCCCCCCTTTAAAAAAAAAAAAAAAATTCCCTCCGAATCTTTTTTGACCCTAACATCGACGCCACGAAGGCACAATTTCAAGATAGACGCTACAAAATCAAAATAAGAAGTCAAAGAATTGCACAAACTTGGTGTCCACGTACATATTGAACATATCGATCTATTTTCTCTTAAAAAAACACCAGAGAATTGCACAAACTAAGCACTGCGCACTGATTTAACTTTGTTCACGTACACATCGATCTATTTTCATTTGAAAAATATCAAGAAGCTAAAACAAAGATAAAACTACCATAGTAACCATAAATAGGGTTTTATCGCCCAAAATTGAGCAAAATTTGTCACTAATCGAAGGGGCACCCAATTCTACACTAGAGCCTATGAAACACATGTATCCAGCCATGGCTTTTATTTTATTCAATTGTTTCAGATTCAAAATTAAATTCCGATGCGAAGAAAGTTATATTTAAAACATTTTTCTTTCTGAATATTCAGTAAAAATAAAAATTGCCACTACATTCAACAAAATACTATTGTTACCCATAAGAATAAAATTTTTTCCTCTTGTGAAAACTTACCTCTTTTATTACTGCTTCCGGCTTTCGGAAGTGGCATCTTCTTGCTCGAAAAATAGCTCGCATCAATGAAGAATATTTTGGATCTCTTTGCCAAATGTGTTTTTGATATAGCAAATGAGGAAGATTTTAAGCCTATTCCAGTAACCATTCTGGTATCGTCTGTAGCCTGCAGTAATTGCTTTCAGTCTTACTTGTCTCGCTTTCTAGTTAATGAAATGAGAAACAGAAGTTAAATATGAGTTTTTTTAATGAAGTCTCGGTTATTGTTCTGCTAAAATTCTAAGCAGCTTCTTATAATGAAATTGTGTTCAGTTCGCTAGATTTCATCTAAAACAAATGTGCCACGACTATTCTTATATATGTAGAAGCAGTTAACGATATTGTTTTCAAAATAACGTTTATGACTGGCCATAAAGTTTCTGATAGATTCTAATCCAAATAAGAAAAATTACTGAAAACATTGCAGATGTCTTTTTGAGAATTTTATGGGTATTTTCCAAGCGAAAACTTTTTATTTTTCGAAACCAAGTTTCACTATTAATAACTTCTTTTTTAATTTAAGTATGAAGTTGAACATTATCACGTAATTATTTTCCAAATTATGTTTGCTTTTCTATTTGGATGAAATTAGTTAACGAGTTGAAAACCGACAGTTAATTTGTAATCGTCATTTTATTTTTATTTTCAATTCATTTTTTCGTTTATCTATACTATACACTTTGTTTGTAGTTGAAATTTCACCTTTTCTTAACTTTTCGTGTATTTATTTTTATGCAGTGTAGTAAAATGTACTTCACATATTTATTTACCTATTCAACAATACAAATAAATAATAATGTGTATGTTTTCACAGTTATTGTATAGAAAGTTATTTTGTGTCATTCCAATGAACCAAGTTCAGGTATAATGGTTTTTCAAAACTTTGAACGATTATAAGGTATTTCTCCCACTTTCTTGACATGCCTTCGTGGTGTGGTGGTCTGCACGTCATCCAGAGGTCCGCGGTTCGATTCCCGGCGAAGCGTTGCTAATTTTTCCTCTTGGCTGCTTCCAAAAATACCTAATGTCTCTACACTATTAATATTAATTTATGAAACAAAGTGTTTAAAACGTAACTTTATTTTGGAACTTGGACTCCTGCCCTCCTAAAAATACAACAGCGCTCAAATTTTTTAGGTGTTAAATTAATTAATTTTCGTTAGTTTGAGAAGTACCTTTCCTCATTTTCCAAAATAAAGCAAAGAAATTACAACGAATTATGAATGGAAAAAGATAATTGTTTATAAATTCGAAAAATATGTAAGAAAAAACATCACAGTCAATAAACAGACAAGGCTTCTTTCAAGGTTAAACCTTCCTTTTCCTGATGCTCCAGACAGTGACGTCACCGCATCACAGACATGGACCTTATCACAGATGATCACAAATGTCAATCAAATTAAGTTCCTTCTCTGACTGAAGAGCCACCTACGCAACGCATTCATACCGCTTGGGAATGGAACTATAATGGAACAAATAATGGAAACGAGGCCTAATGAGTCAAGGTCATCGATGTCACCATGTTGGTTGACCTTGGTAGAGAAGAGCAAACTTTGTAGTGTAGTAACCTGGGAGAGTATGACTAAATTTGCAGAAACGTTAGGCTCTTTTGAAGCAGGAAGCATGAAAATTGAGCAGCACTCTCGTCTGAACTCTAACCTGAACCTCTCGAACAACGACGGTGTGCTAAATGTTTTACCACAAAGTCATGCAGAAAGGAAGGAGAAAATACCTTATATACTACCCCTTTTTAAAGGGCGACTGGGGATTAGGGGACCCAGTCGGACTGGTGATGAAGAATCATCATCTACTACTTTTTATTTCAAACGCCAGCGTAGAGTCATTAGGTTTCTCTGAAGAAAAATTAGCAATGCCCTCACTGGGACTCGAACCTGGAGCTCTGGAATACGCGCCGTGTGTGCCAACCATTACTCCCCGAAGGCATTCAGAAAGGAAGGAGAAAATACTTTATAAATTGAATTCGATTTTAGTATGGTTTTTTATTCAAGTCTGTTGAATTAGATTTGACGCAGGAATAATCTAGTTTATTTTTATATTAAAATTAGAATGAGTTATTCCTTGCTATTTAATAAACTTATGACGCAGGTATAAAAGTCTTATAAATTTCAAGTAATATGGCTTTTGCACATTAGAATCTATTTTTATATGATTTTACCTTGGGTCAAACCTTGAAATAAAATCTTCAAATTCACTTCTACTTCTGTGCCCACCAGCGGCCGAGCGATAAAATTGCTGAACACTGGTAGTTCGGTCCGAGGTTCGAATCCCGCGAACGGGCTGGCTGCATGGGTGTTTTCGTGGTTTTCCACACGTGTAACGTGTGTACGAGCCAGTTTCCCTTAGAAAGTCCTCCACGAAGGCATCTCTCCCGTTAGGCAGATAGCCCTAGTGTGCTTTGCCTTAATTAAATAAACCAAACCAAACCTTCCCTTCTACTTCATCAGTTTTATTCAAATTCTGCACGTATGCGTGTTCGCGATGACAATGCAATTTTTTTTTAGCCCAAAAAGGTAATTTGCCCAGAAGGGCTATTAATTTCGTTTTGGCATTTTGTGGCGATTTATTCTAAACGGCGTTTCACTTTTAAAATTGTTGCCACCACATATTAGAGCCTTGCATTGTATTTAAAGAAATTAAATGAAGAATCTGCATGAATGTATGTCGTATGTATGTTTCTTGGCATTTTGAAAAAACAACGGCACCTAGAAACATCCGATTTTGAATAACGTAGTCCTTCACTCTAACATGGGCATCTGGAAGCCTAAATTTGGGATTTGTTTTATTACCTATTTCATATTTTGTAAAACTTTAACGAATTTTTGATTAAAAAACTCAACAATTTCAAAGCGAGCAATGGTTACACTGTACGGAAAAAAAAAAAAAAAAAAAAAAAAAAAAACACTTTTATCTCCAGCGCGCGGCAGACTGCGTATTGAAAATGCTAAAGATATGTTCTTTTTAGATTATTTTGAAATATTGCTGTTGAATTGAATTTTATGGTTTAAGTCCGAAGAACATGATATTTAATAAATAAAGGTAATACACAAAACGTTAAAAGAACTCCCTTTTAGGCGTACTATAAAATCTGAAAGATTTGAAATTTTTTTTTCGCCCTATAAATTTGATATAAATTTTGTACATTTTATTTTAAGTTGAAGCCATTTCTTACGGATTTTTCGCAGATATCCTCGCAAAATTTCACACTATGCACCATCTGATAAATTCGAAAGTAGCAAATTAAAATGTCAAGTGAATTTCGTAATCGACGAGCCGTAAACAATCATGTGACTGCTAACTGTGATCTTACAGTGGCACACTTTTAAATACGAATTTTTAAAGGGAAATTTCAATGAATTGTATGTAGTCTTGGACGAGGAATATATCAGCAGACCTTGAAATTAATGTAAAGTCACTATGTAGAGACATTAGGAAGTTTGGAAGCAAGAGAGATTGAAAAATTAGCAGCGAACTTCGTCGGGAATCGAACTGCTGACATCTGGAATACGCACCCAGTGCGCAGACCACTACACCACGAAGGCATATCAAGAAGGGAGAAATACCTTATATACTCCTCTTTTTAAAGGGAGACTGGGTTTTTTAGGGGACCCAATCGCCAAATCCTGGGTGAGGAGAATCATCATTCAACACCTTTTTTCGAGTTCAGGCGCCACTGTAGAGACATTAGGTATTTTTTGGAAGCAGGAGAAGTGAAAAATTAGCAATGCCTTCGCCGGGAATCGAACCGCGGATTTCTCAAGTACGCGCTGAGCGTGCAGATCACCACACCACAAAGGCTGGTTAAGAAGGCGGGAGAAATACTTTATGTTTATTCTACTTCAATCCTGCGGCTATAGCGCAGGACGGGTTTAAAAAATTTTATTCGAATTTTTAGTCTATTTATGTATTTCTTTATATATGTATATATACTTTCGGTGCAGCCGATTACAACCAAAAAGGGAGGTGCACAACTACATGTTATAGCATTCCTATATACAAAATTTCAGCGCTCTGAGGCTGCTCGTTTTTGAGTTATGCGAGATATATACGTGTGTACGTACAAATGCCTCGATAAGGTCTCTTCTGAATCCATTTTAAATCAGTTTTATAACCCGTTTGGGGGAAAAGAGTCCTTTCTGTGATTACGTACAGATGTCACGCAAACACATCGTTAAATTGCATTCGATAGCAGTCAACAAAATGGATACTTTCGTTGAAATATTGTACCCGGAATTTTTCATGATACAATACTTTCTTTACTACTATTTTTACTTACAAGGAAGTAATAGTAGTATACTTTCTTTACTACTATTTTTACTTACAAGGAAGTTAAAAAAGGTCGTGCACTATAGAGCCAATTAGCACAATTCGAGGATAAGGCGCTATAAAAGAGATAAAATAAAACACCAAAAGTACATCGTAATTAAAGAGCGGATTATGCATAAAGTATATGGTTCAGTTTATAAATGTGAGAGACTAAAAGTGTTGAAAAATTGAGGAACGTCGTTAATTTAGATTATAAAACAATAACACTAACTTAAGCTGATAAATAGAGCAGAATAAAAACCTCAATTCATGTAATTAGAATCTGAGTTTAAATATTTATCACTGCAATGAAAAGAAACGAACAATTTTAGAGAAAGTAAATAAATTCTATTTTACAGTATAACGATACTCACTGCTTTAAAGATCTCCTCTTTGAAATAGCAATTTGATTTACTAGTTCATTCTCAACACTGCTCAACAGTAGCTTGTAATAACATTCAACGATAAATTTGAGACTAAAAATGCATTGCACGTATTTAAAGTTTTTCATCACTCCGTTGAAACTTGCGCATATTGTTCCGGGAAGAACTTGCAACCGAAGATGAAGCAAATTGTTTTTCTCCTGCTGTGATTCCTCATTTTGCAATTTCTTTCATAAAATGAAAAGAAAGGAATTTACATAATGGTTTGAAAGTTTAACCAAACTCCATAATGTAGGAATTTTTTTAACGTCAGTAGACGACGTTAGATGAATTATAATCTTTTCAATACACATAACACCAAATACATCAGCCACGTTTAAAATGAGATAGAATAAGCTGACAGAATTCAATTTTAGACATTTTCCAGTATCGGTAAAATGTTCTCCAATTATCGAGAGATTCTACTAAAAGTGCCTTTCCTCATGAAGGTAAAATAGTTCGAGATAATTTACGCATATATTTAAAGAAAAACAAAGTGATAGCTGAATTCACAAATACCTGGAATGTTTTTCCAAGATCTATATCATACCTTAATATAATAATAATATGCTAAGAAACTATACATAGCAAACTCGATAACTAAACTCATGAGTTACAATTAATTAACATAAAAATTACCAAATACATAATCACATTATTAATTTAACAAACAGTCAGTTTGTTAAATTAATAATGTGTCAAACATCAAAAGTCAGCGTTATATTTTCAAATTTTCACAGGACTAGTTTCGATGGTTTCACCGAACCATCGTCCTCAGCTGCAAACGCGCAAATGAACGAGATAAGATATAATGATTAGATAAGATAAGAAAGCCTGGACAGGAGATAATCCATTGTCACCATCTGTTGATGAAACCAGAACTAAAACATAATTTCTTTAAAGACTGAAGGCAAAGATGCATTGGAATAAGTGTCGTTAATTAGAACAGAAAGATTTTTTTGAATGTGAAATGCCTCTAGAAAATCCAATTCACAATGGAAGATGTTTTTTGAATAATTTTGGCAGCAGAAAAATTGAAAGTGTGATTTTCGGACCAAAAAGGTTGGGCAATAGAAGACTTCTGTGTTTCCTTTTTTCTAACATATGCCTCATGTTCCTTAACCCGAAATTTTAAGTCTCTCTTAGTGTTATTGTATCTTAATTATAGAAACCCCAAACAGGCTTATTTTGTGCTTCCTTTTTTTCCAAGTGGTTTTCGTCATCTTGCGATTGTACGTGTTTCGGAGCCTCAAACGGCTTACATTTCGTTTTCTTTTTTGCGCGTGGTGTAACCGCCATTTTTGACTGCATGAGTTTCTGTAAATACTTTTTTGCAGTTTTTAAGTTCTTTGTGTGTTTCACATATTTGAATATTTCGCTCTGCTTGTCTGATTTCTTGCATTTTAGTTGCAAATATTTTGTTTTCTATTCATTTCAGTGTGAAATTTTTCTGCTATTTTCTGCGTGCTTTATTATTGGTTAGTTATTTAGTTTGATTTTACGCATTGTTTATCATGCCTTTATCCATTAACCGTTTCACTAAATTACGCCTGAAACGACAAAAATTCCTGAATCATCTCGACTTTTTACTTAAGTGTAAATGTAAAAAATTAATCAATCAAAAACCTTCCAGTCGCGTTTCAAGAATTCTGTTAAACTGCACGCTAGCCTTACTTCGGTCCATCATAAGGGATACTCGTCTAGTTATCCAAAATTTAACATGAACTCTATAACCTTCATCTGAAACTCGCTTAATTCATATCCAGATTTCACTGCCCTTGAACAAAAGTCTTGGTCTAGAACGGAGAATGTAGTTAATCGTCATAAAAACACCCTTGTAGTTAAATTCGAAAAACTTCTTTTACGGTCTTCCAGTTCAAGTAGTTCAAAATTGTAAACATTACGCCAATATTTAATATTTCTAATGTTAGTTTATCAAAAGAACAAGAGAGAATTCTAAAATATAAGTTTAACTTATCACAAACCTCTAAACCCTCGATTTCAAAGAATTTGGTTCCTATCGAAAAAGCTTTCAAGTTCAGTAAAGTTTCAGATTCACAGAAAGAAATGATTAGGCATCTTATCGCTCATAATGTGAAATTCAATTATAAACGTTTGAAAACAAATCTAACCGCGAGAGAAAGAGCTACAATGCGCGAAATTCATTCTAACCCGAATATTATCATTTCAAAGACCGACAAAGGTGGCCAGATAGTCGTCATGGATAAGAACACTTACATCGATGGTGTCACTAAACTCTTAAACGAAGGACCATATAATCCGATCCCTAAAGATCCTTCACCTTCGGACTTTCCAAAAATAAAAACTGCGATCAAATCTTCGCAAATCATTTGAAGCAACTTAAAACATTCGCTTATCCCATCTGTTGCGAATTGTGCCAGATTATATGCTCTTCCCAAAATTCATAAAAGTGGTATTCCTTTCCGCCCTATTGTATCAAATTTAGGTACTGCCTCGTATCCCATTAGCTAAATATTTAGTTTCTAGATTTTTCCAACTCTATTAGACAATAACATTTACACCATAAAAAATTCAATAGAGTTTGTAAAAAAGGTTAAAAACATTTCTCCTAGTAATTTACTCATGGTTTTCTTTTGATGTAAAATCATTATTCACCAATTTCCCAGGGGAGGTTGCGTTAAGATGTCTAGAAACCAGACTTCGCGAATTTCATTTCTTTTGCATCGAAATTGATGAGCTAATTTCTCTCACTCAACTCTGTTTGAAACAAACACATTTTGTTTTCCGAAATAAATATTACAAGCAAACTGAGGGATTAGCCATGGGAAGCCCCCTCAGTCCCATCCTGGCTGATATCTACATGCATTATTATGAATCAAAATTGTTTGATACTTTAAACTTCCCGGTATGGTTCCGCTACGTAGACGATACTTTTACCCTGTTTGAAGGTAATAAAGATGATTTGGATACAGTTCTTTCAACAATGAATTCCATTCATTTCTGCTATTCATTTCATTTTTGAACTTGAGACTTGCAATTATCTTCCGTTTCTCGACATTCTGGTCACACGTAACACATCCAACTTCAGTACTACGGTTTACCTTAAACACGGCTTAATTTACAAGATTAAAAGTGCCGGAGCCCTATGGAAGACCGTCAGCAAAGAGGAACAAGACCAAATAAATAAATAAAATGACTATTAAACTCTTTAATAAATTTTAAATTAAATAGTTAATTATTATCAAATTAATTAATAGATATTTAATTAATGTTTATAAATTGTTGTTTAATCAATAATTATTATATAATTACTTAATTATAATTTAATTTATAATTATTAGATAATTAATTATTATTTATTGAAATAATTAAAGATTGAAGTAATTAAATAATTAAAATTAAATAAAATGTAAAGAGATAAATTGAAATTTAATAAGCGATTTTTAATATAATTTTATTGTTAAAATAAAATTTTCGAGATAAAATTTCTACTGAAATTGTTATTCAGTTACATAAAAGAAGTGCCGCAGCCTTCTTATTCAGGGCTCCGGTGCGTTCCGACTTGAATTATTATCTATTACAAAAACTAAGATGCATCGGAGCCGAGATCCGGTGGGTTCCGGACCAATTTAAGTTTTGATCGTAGGGGGAGAGTTCTTTTATCAACACAAAAATTCAATATGCTTAAAGTATAGCTGATGAAAATTTCAGGGCGAAACAGAATGAGGGTATGAGTGGGTGGAAACAAAAAAATGAGGGGAATCTTGGTCAGGGAGAACGTTCTCTTTGACCGCGGTTGATATAATTATAGCCATCAGGCAGATGGGTGTCAAGGGTAAATGAGTTCTGAATCGGACTCCTAAATGTAAAGTTGCTGGTTACGCTTCTCCCCGCCATTAGTGGATACTGTGGGAAGACGATGTATAGGACGTGCATGAGCAGTTTAACTCAGTATTTCACTCTTATTGTACTCGTTGTCACTTAACGCACATTTAAGAACACAAATTTTCCTTCCTGCGAGGATAACTAACTGTAAGCATCGATAACAATACACTAGATACATGGCGAGAAATTTAGGCGTTTCTAAATAAACTCCCCCAAATTTATTGCTTTTCTTAAAGGGAAAGGTTTCCGCATGTGAGTGAGGGAACTTTACTTAACCCCTTAACTGCCGCGGGCGTATATATACGCCTTGCTCAGCCGATGCGTTAACTGCCCCAGATGCGCAGCCGATGCGTTAACTTTGCGAATAATTTTAGGTGTAGCAGCGCAAAGCAAATGATAGCAGTTTGGAAGGACGTATATATACGCCTGGGGCAGTTAACGCATCGGCTGAGCAAGGCGTATATATATACGCCCGCGGCAGTTAAGGGGTTAAACGTCTCATGTTCTCATGAGTTCGTATTTCTAGGGAAATAGAGTTCTGTAAAGTCTGCTTATTGTTAAACGTTAGGAATTCTAAATCTTTTTCCTTTTGAATTGTGGTTCAGTTTTATAAAAAGAAGTACTGGAGCTCATTTTATTTAGGGCTCCGGTGTGTCCGGCTAAAATTGTAATTTATCTTAAAAATTGAGAAGCACCGGAGCCGGGCTCCGGTGGGCTCCGGCGCAATTTAAACACTGACCGTAAACCTTCATCAAATCATGACATCCGACCAAGCAAAAGTTAGCTTAATTTAATTCCTATCTTTTCCGTGCTCTTCAAGTTTGCTCCTCCAAACTATCCCTTGATGAAGAACTAAATTATTTAAAAGCAATAGCTATTGACAGGGGCTTTTCACACACATTATTAATCAAGCAGTTAAAAAATTCTCATCTCAACACACCAAAAGGCACAGTCTTGTTTTAGGAGAATTTTATTATGTTTTTAGTTCTGGTTTCATCAACAGATGGCGCCAGTGGATTATCTCCTGTCCAGACTTTCTTACCTTATTTTATCTAATCATTGTATCTTATCTCGTTCGTTTGCGCTTTTGCAACTGAGGATGATGGTTCGGTAAAACCGTCGAAACTAGTCCT